CCTGCGAAGCGCACCAACATCATTGAACTGGGTCTCGTCGGTAGGGATGTACAGATGACCGCGAGAACTCTTGCCATGAGCTCGGAAACTACCAGAAGAATGATTGCGCGCTATAGGTCTGAAGGGGAGACCACGGACCATCCAAAAAGTGGTCTCCGGAGTGAAAATCAATCAGGAGTACCTAAACAACATGCTTGTGCGCCATCTTGTTCCTTGGATCAGGGAGCACTCTGATGATCAACCACATGTCTTTCAACAGAATTTGGCTCCAGCCCACTGGGCGAAGTCCACTCAGGAGTGGAGTGATCGAATCTTTGCGACTTCATACTCGCTCGAGAGTGGCCCCCTTTTAGCCTAGATCTTAACCCATTAGATTACTATGGGGTGTCTTACAGGGTGTCTTATTGGAGTCGAAGGCTTGCGTTACTCACATAGAAATTTGGAGTCGCTGAAGGCTGAAGAAAATATGGAACGAAATCGACGTGGAATACTTGCGGCGCACCGTTGGTGATTTCCCTCGCCGTTTACGCGATTGTATAGCCGACCGAATTGAATGATTTTAGTGTATATTGTTCTTTAGCCTATTCTTTTTGCGGGATAATTTGGAGCCACAGTATTTTTGGGACAGCACTTTTCCGCACCCTGTATATAGAAATCTATCCTTAAGTGGTCTGCAAGCATCTAAGCAGCCAAGTTCTTATTCTGGATGTTATAAGCTCCCACTCATTCGGTTTTTAAGAATGCTTGTTAGATCGTTCGATCAAAGTGAAGATTTTCTTTGAAACATACCTTGGCTTTGTTAGCAGCGATCACTAAATGACTGGGTCTTCTGTTTGTCTTGCGTAATCAAAAGTTTTTGAAAAATTTTTGTCATTTCCAAAATTCCAGTTTTGCACGAAGCAGTTGACGATTTCTCGTATGCACCTTACTAAGCTGATTCATGCATTTTTCCGGGTCTCCTCCGCGGACTCGCAAAAGCACATCCTGTTTTTTTTTCTACCCCGGAAAGGTATCCAGCCTGTCACGCAGGCCACCTTTGCCAAGCCCTGCCTTACCTCTCCCCCTCCCCCTCCCCCCTCTAGCTCCGCTACTGACATGCACATATGAAATACAGTTCAATCAGAACACAGTCTGCAAATGTAGACCTTGTGATCTCATTGTTAACAGATCTTAATGTCAAACAATCGACACTTCGTGGAGAGCTTGAAGTAAACGGAGAGACAAGCAATGTTTACTGCATCTGTTCCAAATATACTCTAGTTCAAGGATGTGCACATTTACAGCACTTCATACATTGTATTTTGCTTATCTTTTAGGGCATGGAAATCTCTTTGCTTAGCGTACCTACCAAATTTATATTTATTGTCCCGGAAGTGCTAAATCTCTAAAGGTCAATATGACCTGCGATTCTATGCAAGTAGTCAAAAGTTTGTTTCCAAATAATAGCGTAAACAATTTTCATTAGGATAGCTGTCACCAAGATCCTCCACCCTCGTTGTTTCGGCGATAAGGTCGCTATAAGTGTGAAAAGCATGGAAAGATTTTTCGATCATGCTCTACCCCCTCCCTTTTCCACCTTACGCATCGAGGAAAAAACTTCTGGGCCAACCTGTCACGCTAACTGGAATGCTTCCCATCTTGTTTATAGAGTCTTTATGAATGGTAATTTGACGATAAGTTTTTTAACACAAGAAACAGTGAATAAAAAATCATGCGAACCGTTGGCTAGGCTAATGTGGTCACTAACACTGCATTCATTAATCCTTCACAACTTTGTAAAGATTTTGAGACTGGAATGAGGCAGCTCCGATGGTGCTTGTGCGTAAGCGTGTGTAACGACGTGGACTTTCTTCGTAGCTATCGATTGAAATACCGTAGCACAGCGCAGGCACGGCGCTGGCACGGGCAACTCTAGACGCAGCCCAAACGACATAGTCGAAAAAGCATTTTCTCCTAAAGATTCACTTCTTTTTTCTTTATTTTTTCTCATTTTCATTTTGCTTCCATTTTCTAAAGGTAACAATGATTTCGTTCCTGAGTTCGGGACATGGTGATCAACTTCTTTCAGTATTTTCTTATGTCCCACAACTCTTACATCGAAAGGCCACAGCTAGGGGTGTCATAGCAGGTTTACAGCAACTTATTCTTTTTTAAGTAAACGTCTAGATTGTTTAATCAGTAAAGGACAATGGTAACTGAGGAAAAGAAAAATCGGTTGACGTGCCAATTTGCGCATGATCTGTCAAATTACCAAACTTTTTCCCTAGCATTTTTCTCAAAATAAGATTTTTTCCCCGAAACAAGTTCTAGCTTGCTTTTTTTCCACCTACAGTTCACGAAATAAGTAAGTATGCAGCGCAACTTTGATTTATAACATTATCAATAAATGATGTCAGTTTTTGGAATTCTTATTAGGCAAGCTACATCTGGTGGACAGCTCTTTATTCTTGGTGGGTGGTACACACTGTAGTCTTTGTTCTGAATTTCGCGTCCAATTGTGCAGTTCCACTTCTTGTTAAATAGATATCATCATGCATTCACCTCAGTAATTGTTTACAAACTTTGTAAGAGACCACCCATGCAGCATCTGACACGCAAAAATGACTAGCTTTTTAGTTAAATTCATGCCTTGCAAAGATATCACAAACTTCATCATGTTTTGGAAAGCATTTCATTGATGCATCCTTTTTTTTGCAAGATTCCAGCTTATCAGACTGCTAATATATCAACAAGCAAATTCATCAAGATAAGGGTTAGGTCATCGATCGGTTAGAGTTCTTGTGAATGTGTTTTGTGTTTCAAGAAAAGAGAGAAACGATGCGCTTTTCCAAGTTGCTATTTCTTGCCATAAATCAAGTAGTTTTTCGAAATGATAGCGATTCAATGGAATCGATGATCAAAGAGGACTGTTGTCTATAACTAGTTGCCAGCCGATCTAGTGCGAGAATATGATGTAATGATGAAGAGACTGTCTTCCTTTCGAAAGAGGGACATCTCCAGCGGCTTCGCTTTTGATGGATCAGCCTTTGGCTTCGCTTCTGTGAAGCGTTCAATCACAGCCGATGAACATTTCGTTTCTCGATTCTCGACTGGCAGAGGCGCTCAAAACCGCGACAATCAGCTGACATTCTCGCCCGGTGTCGTCCTCATAAAGTGTAATGACGGTTCACAGTAAAGACAGGAAAGAGCTGGGCAAAAACATGCCGAGTCTGACTAGCAAGAAGAAGATAAACGTTGCGAGAAACCCCAAACTTGAAATAGCACATCAAATACTGCAAGGTCGCCTGTTTTTGATTGCCTTTTTGTGAATTTTTGGAATGGTGACGATGCACCCGACTAACTGTCAGAAATCTTCTTTAAACATTTCATGTGCAAGTGAAGACAAAGGAAAATCACAACTAAGATCTGGCGAAAAGACTGGGTCAAAAACTTTTTCATTCTTTTTGGACTTCGTTCGAAAAATTGTTTATCCTCCATTCTATTTTGCTATGAGATTTATGGTCTGCAAGTCTGTAATGACTTCAACTTACTTTGATGCAGATAGCTCTGATTATGGTAGAAAAATAAGCGCAGCAGCTAGCTCTTATAGGATAGTATTTTTACGAAAGAGAAGATTCGGACCAGCAAGAAAGCCAGTTCAAGGATATACGTGGAAAAAATAATCATATAATTTATAGGATGATTCAGAAGTAAAATTGACATTTTTGAACGCCATTTCTTAGGGAATTAGTCAAGCTAGCTGTCTCTGTGGACAACAAAGAGAAGCCTGTTCCGGTTTATCTATTCTTTTTTTGCTCACCTGAGTAGGGGGTTTGCAAACCAAAACAACATTTTTTCACGCCCTGAATATTCGCGATTTCTCGCTTTTCCTGTCTTTCTTACTCGTAAAGAAAAAAACTTGTTTGCTCTAAAGTAAATATAAGATCGAGCTTCGAAATTTCGCATGACTGGTACGTCACAAACTCAAGGACTATGCAGTACAACACTGGTGCAAATGTAGGAAATGTCCAAGAAAGTCCGCCCCAATTCTTCGTAACGTTGAGTAGTAAAGAAAAAGGAGACGAAGGTTACTTATACAAATGGTGTTTACGTGTTGGCTGATCATTGCTCAATAATACTAGAGTTGTAATATGTGAAAAGAGGGTACAGCTTTGTACCTTCTTTCACAAAAAGTATTACTTTGACTGGCGACGGCATGGCACAGAATTTATCGGTAGTATAGTAGCGTCTCTAGTTTTTGATGCTTTCGTGAAGGAGCTCAAATCCTGCGCAGAGTGATAGTTTTTATCTATTCTGTTCTTAAACACTTCCGTAATGCAACAGTTCATGAAAGATTCTGCATTCGAACGCTTTAAAACGCACAGCAATGCAGCAATTTCGCTCGAGACAAAAAGTATTAATCGCTCACTGTTAGGAAAAAGACGATTGGTAAATTTTCAAAACAGGTTGTATTTTTCAGGTTTTCCCTAACAGTAGAAGTTAATAATTTTGTGATTGAACGAGCTCACTAATCATATAGGTCATTCCCTGAAACTGATTGCTGTTCGAGCTGATTTTTTACGCCATTCAGCAGTGAAGTGTAAGTCAGGCTTCCTTTTTGGATAGACTTGACCCTGATAGTCCATTAGCGCAAAGACGAGAACACTGAGCCGCTAAGTTCTTTTTGCGCCCCCAGCTCAGAAGTGATGACCTTGCAAGAATTTCTGTTTGATTTCTCATTCTCATCTTCACGATTTATGTTCGCTACTAGCGCAAATCTCCTATCAACAGGTCATTGGTTCAGAGCTCAGTCGAGCAAAAAATCTCTGTCGCAATACCTTCGGACCATTCTGTCTGGCATTTCTTACTTGGTCTCAAATAACTGACTGATGGTTCGGCATACGTAAGCGCCCAACATTTCTTATTATCAACATATGCGCCGTTAGTCAAAATAAAACCCAGCTTTGAAGAGCTCAGAGAACAGCCCGTCAAAGCTGCCTACCACTCAGTGGCACAATCATATGCGAAGCCGCAGGTTAAAAAGGTCTGCTCACTTCATGGATTCTACATTGTCATCTTCCCTCTTCCCTTTCCCGTCTTCACCATCCGTGACTTTTCTCCCTTCGCTATGGATTATTCGCTTTACGCGTATTATTCGCCAGTTTCGAGTTGTTTGTAACACATTTATTCTCCTTATTGGATTTATAGCGAGCAAACTTCTGTCACGTCAACTAATGGCTTGCGTAACACCTCAAAAAAATGGGCGTTGAAACTCGATTCGTTGAGAATGTTTGTCATTCAAAAAACGTGCATTTATGATTGCAAGGTCAACCAGCTCATAAAAGAATTTGGCAGACACAAATCACTTAAGATTTGGGCACTATTGACAACGATTGCTATAGTGAAAAAACTAATGATATCAATTCACTCTAATTAGTTTTGTAAGCAGGAAGTAAAGTTCATGCGCGAGTTGGATAGATTGGAAACCAAACATGTACATAGTGTAGCTCCTCTAGTTAATTTCCACCTATGATCCCTAAAGAAACTTTTTTTTTGTTCAGAAATTGCTTCTATAAGCTATACAATGATCGAACTTGTCATTCTAGGAACGCTCTCTTTGTCTTGACATTATTTGTAATTCCTGAAGACTTATGCTATGAACAGTGCATTCCCGAATGGCCTTGACTGACGCATAACTTCCTGAATTCTATGGTTTGAATTGTGCGAGCGGATCATCCGACACAACCCGTTCTTACCCTTTGGCATACCAACTGTTGAAATTTCGCAGTATTTTCTACGCATCTCACGAAGCTGAATAACACCATAAATGTTTATACATTAGCATCATGCACCCTGCTAGTTCAAGATTAAATTATTCCACGGCCCAGATGGTTTCATCGATGTTTTGAGCAGTATTCAATATGTACGGCAGCTTACTAAAAGTAACTTGTATTGGCGGTAACACTGCACTTTTTTGACGAACTCAATCACATCGGACTAATTATAGGTTTTAGCTGTGCGTCGGTCCCACGATATGAAGAAATGCTGGCCTTAGGACGTGCAGCAAAAGAAAATCCGTAGCATGTTGGTATCTTGCCATTGTCACCACGGTCTCCTTGTGGAATCCACCCCCGAACTTTACAAAACGGTAGACTATCCATCACCTGATTTCCGGCTAGACAGAGCCTGCCTGCTCCTTTGCAGTGTTCCCTTGTTCCCACACCCAGTGGCACGGCTGACCCACGCCTTCCATGTGAGACACATCTGACTAACCAGCTCCCGATGTAGGAGTAATGTGACGAAACTCTCGCGCTCTAAATTTTCCCCGCGAGGAAACGGGCGTTGTGCAATTAAGTTGCGTCTCTGGTCACCATATATATTGTGCGAGGTGTGTGTATGGGGTTCATAATAGTGATGGCCGTGGGCGTATACCTGTACTCGGCACACGGTCTCGACCGAACTTTCGAACTACCGAGTCGAGACAAACTGGCCCCAGTCGTCAATGCCAGCGCCCTGACGACATTTGACCCCCTCCCGTCTCGTTTGTCACTATGTGGCTTTGTCACTTTCACCTCTGGGGTTGTGCCATCCATCCGCACAAAGCTTCCTGCTTTCAATGTTTTCCATGTGTAGCTCTGCCTTGCCGCCATTGTGAAATGGCGGCTGCGAAATCCTCTTAGCGAAAGCGACCATCAAAAGCATACATCGCAGTCCTCCCCTATCTGTGCGTACATTCGCCATCCGCCCTCATTTTTTTCAAATCTCATGCCGATTCACATAATCTAGTTCTCAATAATATTTCTTCCAGCATGCAAGATCTACTTGCTCTTCTACTGCTTCTAACTGCAGGTGAGCTCTTTTTGTCACTCCTTCAAAACAACATAAAGTCAGGCAAAAGGAAATGTCTAACATTTGCCCCTGTAATTTGAGCTATGTCCTAGAGGGTGGAGAAATACATATTTTGACTCTTCGCTAAAAGTTCATGCAACTCGTCTCTTGAGGAAGATTCCTTACTTGATTAATATAAGCGGCGAACTTCCATCTGAATTAAACTCTACAGTCAGATAAGTACGGATAATGGACTTTACTTGATTCATAAGCCCTGTACATCTTTCTGAAAGCAAGAAAGTGTTTGATACGGATTCAAAGCTATTTCGTCGTGCCCGGTATGGTGCGGTTACAATGTTTACCTAAGATAAACGCAGGCCATAGCTATTTGAAAGTGAAACGCTAGCGAAGCCAAGAGGATCGAGTTATACTTGTTTAGGGTAAATCATAGTGACAGCTCGTAAAATCAAATATTTTGTGAAACTTCTAAAACCATCGGTTTCATGAGAGAAATGCCGTAGGTAGCCTGACTACATCTCACTACAGCATTAGCGATGATTCCCATGGCGCAAATAATCTCGCCTTTTTTTTCAAATTTGTGATTAGAAAGAATATTTTCAGCAGTGTCTCCGCAGCAGTTTCGTCACTGTATCAACACTCTGAGAGGACCGTGTTGTGATCTGCACAGATTCTGCGCATTTTGGTCACGTAACCAGGAATGCTTGAAAAATCCAAATTGGATGCTGAGGAACTGCCAAATATCGTGTCGAGTCTGTGTCATGGATACCATCACTACACAGACGTTCAGTAAGTGATTTTGCTTGCGAGTTCGATTTTTCAAATTGTTGACCAGAATTTTCGCTGGACCAGGAAACGATCGCGCAGCCTGTTATGGTGCGCGGAATTTTTTCAATAAGTCTGGCGCCAAATTCTTGTGGAAGTTCACATTTTTGAAGTATAGAACTTTGTGATAGTCAAAATCTGTGAAACCATTGCAAACCTTTTTTGCTCTCCGGAAGCTCTCCTGCGTTGTTTGAGTAGGGGTTGAATAAATTCTGGTGGAAGCGATCTAAAAGGCAACGCTGAACTTCACTGTCTAAACTATAGCATATCTTTGACTAATTTTTGATCTATCACATACTGTAAAGAAGAAAGCTTTTCAACCTTTGCACAGTGTGCCAAATTCCTTCTCGCTAGTTTTGGTGGAAGCGAAGATTTAATTAGCTGTAAATATGGCTGAAAAAACCGTGCGCAAGGAATCTCGAGCTCGATCCACTAAGAAGAAGAGGAATAGCTCTTTTTCGCGCTTTGGGGAGGCGTTGGACAGCACTGACGATCCTTTCAACCTTCAATCAAAACTGCAAGAAAGCGTGATTGAAATGATTACCTGCAGAAGAGCTATTTACAGAAGGAATTCAATTTTGAGAGGGTGGAGGAATTCGATAATGTAATTGAGGAAGTAATGGAAACTAGATGTGTTACGGCATTCACCCCAATTCCATTCCTGTCAGTAATCTTCACACAAAAGTGATTTTTTCTTATAGTATTTCAATTTTTGAGGAAAAATACTGTTTCTCTATTTTCTGTAGTAAGGCTTCTTGCAGCCGAACATTACAAACTGTCAAGAACTATGGAGCCAATCATGTGAGAGGCTTAATCTTACGGTAGGTACCGAATGTAAAGCCCCCTCCCCCCAGCTTAGAACAACAGAGCGCTTTTTTTTTCAAAGATGTAGCTTTCTCCAAGCTGCTGTAGTCTCACAAAAGTGATTCTATCGCACAACCGTGATAGATGGGCAGTGTTTGTTTCAGAAGTACCCAAGTTGTAATAATGCTGCGTTGCGTCATAATTTCGTGAAATTCGTGCCGGTTGATGGTTTCGTTTCTTGCAATTCCTTTTGTGTTGTGATGTAAATGCGAATAAAAAGACGAACGAAGTCAAGCGAGAGCGGCGGGTTTGGCACGTGCAGGACCAGCATCGATCTTGATCAAGCGCGGTGCTTCTCAAGTTTTACATCTGTTAACGTTTTCGTTTTCCAACGTCTTCTCACAGGCACTTTTTCGATGCTGGGAAATAACCGATCTCACTGTTGTAATACAGAACGATGTCAAGGTTATCTTTTGCAGAAGAGCGTTTTGAAGTGCCACTGTTTCAAGTGTTGTATAGGGAACATAGAATGCAAGTGAAAACCATTTTTTGAGCATTTCTAAAGAAATTCACGTTTAAGTAACGTAATTGCACTCCATTGACAAATAGCCAGAAGAGCATTCTTCAAGTGGGGGCATGCAAATGTTTTTCTAACAACCTGTGAAGTGTCCACTTTGCTTTCACTGTATTGTTCTCATTAGCTCTTGAAAAGAATTACAATGGGGGCTTTTGCACTTACTAACAATGTAAAGCTGTCTTTATATTTGTAAAAAATTCTGTAAAACTTGACAAGAAGACATCATATGTACCAATGCTCTCTCGTTCTTGCAAACAGCGCCCTTGAGACAATGAAACCTCTAAAAAAATTTTTAGCAAACTTTTTGCCTTTTCTAGAATGGAATTTGCATTTTATTGCTCTACAGTTGTGACAGTGGAATGTGAAAAATTTCGGCGAATTCGGCGAATTCGCCGAATTCGCCGAAATTTTTCACATTCCACTGTCACAACTGTATTTTGCGAGCAATGATCTCTGAATATTAATGTATTATCTTCCAAAAAAAGTCTTTTGCAAAATATTGTTGCCTATCAAGTTTTTCAGTCGCATTAGACTTGCAAACGCCCTTTCGACTATTTTTGAGAAATGTGAGCGTTTCTAAAGTCTATTTACCACTATAAAAAACTTGTGCTCTGAAAACCTAATCTCTTTTTAAAAAAGTTTGACCACATTCTCCTCTTTTCCTGCTGTTCTTATGTTACCATGTTGCTCTTTGATTGAAAATTTACTTCAAAGTTGATTTACTACCGACTGAACAATATTGCCTGACTCATCTTTATTTTAAAGCAACAAAATGACCGTTCTTCTTGAAAGTGTTATGTATAGCCTTTTGAACTCGAAATGATCATGATCACTAAACTTAAATCGTGCAAGTGAAGTTCATAAATGGGTCGATGCTATGATACCATGACGCATATACTTTTTTTAAAGGTGGTTTATAGTCCAAGATGCACTGATGTGGCACTCAATCATAAAACCAATTAGTGTGCATAATGAAGTTATAAAAGACCCATAACTCGGCCATCAAAGTAAAGCAGCTGGAGTTTGTCTAGTAGGACTAGTAGCTTTGATTGAGGCTTTTTGGGAACTGAACATAATGGGAAATTAAGTAGGGAAAAGGGAGTAATAGAAATTTACAGTCATATCTGAATGTTCATGAAATGGGATGTCCCGAAGAGACCATCTGCGATAATTTTCTCTTGGGTATGGGATGTTTAGCTCCGTACCGATTTATTCTTCCGTTTTTTGATGAAAATCCAAAGTTTTGGACCTAATGACGAATACGTTCTTTTTCGAGAATACATTTCAAGTGCTCTTAATACTTTGAGTGATGGTAGGGTTCAATAGTTGTTTGGGACAATGTACAGGGTGTCCCAAAAAATGTGAACACCGTTTGAACGTTAATAACTCTCTTGCTTTCACGTCCTTCGCCGTGCTTGAGGTATTCTTTAGAGCGAGGTTCAACTTAGATTTACAGTAGAACGAGTCATCAATCTCTCTTTATTACTGTAGGATCACGGTATGAACTTTCAGCATAAAGCGCTACAATGGAATAGGTCTTTCGGAGGAAAAAATTCAAAAAAAATCGCTTTTTTGTGAAGTAAGGTTTCCAGGCATGGTGATTCCAGTACACAACTTTTTACTAGTTTTTTATGGTGTAAATCACACTTCCTAGACCTGAGATTACTTATGAAAGAAGCATTACAGTGAAGCGCAAATTTCATATTTAGAATCAGCGACGTCGAGTAGTCCAGCACACGAGCTTCTTGTTTGTTTGGTATTCTTTCGGAGGCAAAACGGCTTTCAATTTCCTAAGCTCTTCCCAAAGTTCATACCGTAATCCTACAGTAATAAAGAGCGATTGATGATTCAGTTCATACTGTAAATCTAAGTTGAACCTCGCCCTACAGAATGATACCTCGAGCTCGGCGAGTTTGAAAGCAAGAGAGTACTAATGATCAAACAGTGTTCACATTTTTTTGGAACACCTTGTATAGTAATATAACCTTGACGTAGTCGCCATTCATCGGAACTGGAAGAAGCCGCTTTCTTTCAAGAACTTTGTTGTAGAAAAATCGAGTTATATACTTGACGCGAAACTAACAGAATGGTGTGCTTGCATTAACCTTTTATGATATTTACACCGGTAGCTCCTCGACAAGCTGACTCCAAATTCTTTTGCTCTAGACTAAACTCTTCTTTGTTCCTTCTTTTTTTACAAGGTGATTCGAAAGTTTTTGGCCCCAACTTTTTTGGCTTTGGAACTCTATGCATTCCCGCGCGCTCATCTAATCTAAAGACAATCGAATTAACAAAGAACAACTTTCTTTCCAATCTTGATTTTTTTTGAACATAGAAGAAGAACAAGGTTTTGTTCACGTGATGAGGGGCTGCGGAAAGAGAGATCAAGGGCAACCATTTGAAGCAACTCAAAAAGAAGAAGGGCCTCTCAAGTGAGAGCTGAGCTTGACTAGCTGGACAAAGTGAAAACGGGACAAAGATTGTGAAAGTGTTCCCTCTTTTTGCGATCCATGGCCGGGAGGGAACCATTCTTAAACAAAAGAAAACAAAAAGAGCTTCCAGATTTGATGTTGATGGAAATTCATTTAAACTAAACACGTTACAAGTACCCTCATATCGGAATGAAGTGCTGAGCATGAGTAGCTTCTGCATCCCCACTGGCATCGAACAATGCAGAATGTATTCTTAACATTTCCAACAAGAACCATTAATTACAGTTCCATTCCACCTAACTTCAAGTGCAAAATGCGGGTTTTCTTAAAAAAGCCATTTAGCAGGTAGTGGGTGGTGCAGATTTATTCTTGGCGTTTCTAGAAATAGAAGTTTGTGTCTTTATCAAAAACGGCCATCATGACATCATCCCATTTTCTCGTAGTTCAGTTGAGGATCCGATACTTGCATTAGCTGGAACGCCTTACGACTGAACTGAATTATCGAACATTTTTTTCCTTTCTGAAATTAGACTGTGATTTTAATTGTTTCGAAAGTCAAAAGCCTTTTCAGGTATGAATGATAACTCTAATCATGAAAACGCTCTTGATTTGCTCTTGGCATTTGCAAATCATGATTGACTTACCTTTCACAAGAATTACATATGATGAAATTACCTAAATGCAGAAACCAACGCAACCACTCATACTAGGTTGTCTTTAAAATGTTGTCCGATCCCAAAAAACAGTGGATGGGGAATCATTCGATAGAAGAAAGCAAGCGTTACAAGATGGCATCCAAATATATGAGCAATCTTTGATTCACGTGAAGTTACAATATATGAAAAGTTTCTAATATTCAAAAATCGAAGCTCAGTTCAGAGAATTTCTACGAACCTCGAGCTCAGGCATGCAGTCTTCACATCAGACATTAATGCTTACGTTTTTGAATTTTTCCGTGGCTAGAATACGAGAAACAAAAATAGGTCGAAAGGGCGAATGTGTCGCGTTTTGCAGGTTTTTCGCGACAAATTTGATTTTTCTCGAAGAGAGCCCTTGTAGAAAGCTGAAATTTCGCGGTTGTACTTCCAAAGGTTTATAGTAAACAATCACCTATTCAGGAAAAGCTCAGATTGCTTTGAGGTGGTATGAATTTTTGTTTCTCGCTTTCTAATGAAAATGCCACGAAATTGTGCACACGAGTGTCGGTGTAAGGAGTATGTGCGTGAGCAAGTTGGGATCTCCAGGATTTTTCTTGAAGAGATCTACGGGTTTTTTTCAGTTTTTCGGGCCTTTAGTGCCTTTTGAAATTGGCTCCAAACTTTGTGCAAATCAATCAATCAATTGCCGCGAACAGGGCTCGGCACGAGGTGGCTAGATGAAAATGGAAAAAACGAAGTCCCCCTTGACTTTTGGGAATTTTTACGAAGTCCCCTTTGACCCTCAACCAAATTTCCTCTAAAAACCTGAAAAATTCCCCAAAATTCCCCAAAAAACGAAACGTCGACTAAAAAAAAAGGTCGCCGTCGCCAATTTTCCGTGTCTCTTCGGTCACAAAAACGAAACCCCCTTTGCTTTTTGTCCCAAAAACGATATCCAGCTTGCTTGTAAGCCACCTCGTGCCGAACCCTGGCCGCGAACGCCTAAGCATCGTTTCGTAGAGCTTGCTTTGGTCTATTGGTCATTACCCCCATACTTTTTTTCGTGTCATCCTGCCCGATATTGTATGAGAAACACGAGGCGACATTATTTTTAGGCAGTCTAATTTTCAAAAAAATCACATGCCAGGCTATTTAGATTAATTAAACTGGTAAAGCGCTTAAAATGTTTATCTACAGGTCCACCAACGACAGCCTTTCGCACAGCTCCACCAACCTCTGTATTTCGCACAGCTCCACCAACCTCCGCCTTTCGCTCACCTTCTTCGCCTTCCTTAGTTCTTCGCCCACCTTCAGTGACTCCAGGAGGAAGATGCAGTCAAGTCGTGCCCGTAGAGGGTGGGTGTGAAAATTCCCGACCTTGATCTTTCTGTGGCTCAACTGAGACTCGTTTAGTGGAAACTCGGCAGGTGTTTTCGGCCGCGCAGATGCGATCACGTCAACAACAGCTGGGGTGTGCTGAAGTGCAAGTAAGTCAGGATCGCAAAAAAGTGAGAATCGGAAGATCTCCTTGGAATCTCTGTTTAGATCCCAGGCAGCTGCAGCGTCAATGAGTGCTACCATCGAAGTTTCAGAAGCATAGACGGAACATGCAACAACCTTGAAAATCCTATAGTGGTTAGTATATCTGATCCACTTTTCCAGTGTGGGGATTATAAGCAGCTAACCTCCTCTTAGGGTGCTGCCTTTACTCCATTCATTCGACTTCTACCGAGTGCTTATGATGACGGGATGAATGCTCTAGTCGGTACGTTTAGAGTTGATGTGAGATGTAGCCGGTGGATGTAACCTATTAGATATCTATATGCAAGTCCTATCGTGATAGTTCTATAAAGGAATCGAAAAATCGTGGGAATGGCGCGACCGCGCACGACACGCACGCACTCCCTGAAATCGCATCTTGGTTTATATCTCTACTTGAATGGCTTTTCTGCTTGCGTATGAAAGCACTAAGACACCGGAAGTGACTGTGAGCTTTGAAATCATGCTTTTTCGTAAAAGTGTTTTATGCTCTTGTGGACGCAATGGTCGCAGTCAAATCCGTCGTCACGATGCCAGAAATGACCTATAGCCTTGCGCGATTTAAACGCTTAGCACTCGATGGCGACTAGTATCGCAACCATTCCAGAACTTTCATTGAGTCGCAAGCACTTTTTCTTTGCTTTTGTGCAGACCAGAATGTGAGCTACATGTGTCAGATAGTTTGCGTGATAGTGAGCGAAAAGCAACCGAACGTTTTCTGAAAAATTGGTGAATTTTGAGAATTTACGGATTTACAAATGAAGGTGCAGCTAAGTCAAGCACGGTGACCCGAACTTTTGACTATGTGTTGCAATCACCAAGCTCTAAAAAGCAAAAAGTTGAACTTCGGGCCATAACGAGATCTGGCACCCCTCGAGAAGACAAACGAGTTACTGCGCGTCAATGTTCTCCCGGAAACCGCAAACTAACTAAAAGGCTAGAATCTCAAATTCTGCCAAATTATCTTTGCACAGTGGGGTAATTTCACTGCTGAACACGAATATTTTTTGGAGTTAAAGTGAAAATCTTACTGGAAGGAATCCGGAATGCTTATCAACTTCCTGTTAGTATGTCGCTTGACCTCCCTAGACCAAATTTCCGTCGTCGCGGAAGTCGTAACCCTTGCTTCCTTACTTTATATCTGCCACAACTTTTGGGCGGTGGTAGTACAACGGTTGCATTTGTAGCTCACTCTTGTTCTATAGAACACCAAGGAGTGACTGCGCAAGAAAGGAGATGGTCACGCAAAAATTTCCATTGTTCACCAACCTAACCACATTATCTCACAGTAACAGCGAGGAACAGCGCTTGATAAAAGCGTGAATCATGTGACTAATCGTAAGTAAAAAAAATATTTCGCACATACATGACCTCCTTCGGTCGCAATCTTCGAAGTCTCTGAAGTGCGAAACACTGATCACTGATCAACATGCAATTTGCAGACACTGTGATTCAAGTATACAGCCGAATAGTTGCAGTTCATGCACATTTTCCCCCAGTTTTGCTTCAGTGAATTTCCATAAAGAAACTTTGTATGCCTATAACTGGATTGAAGTGTCATGATGACTTTATTCAAACATGGTTAGTCATAAAAGAAATGCCAGTGTTAAACTTTGCATCTATCAAATAAAAGCTGAAATGGGGACCGGATTTTCCATTCGATTTTGTCAGCTATATACGTCAGAAAAATGCTGGAATTCAGCAAATAGAAAATTGGTAAATTCTATCTCATTACCTTGCTTGAGTTCACAGGATAGAATGCTTTTATATGGGCATGCTCTTCAGCTACATTCGACAAGATAGGTTCTATTTGTGACTATATGTAAATCATTCAACGCATACCATTTGGTAGAGCTGCTTCAACTCACGTCTAAAAACTAATACATAAAGGTAAAGCACCAATCTCTGTCAACTTAAGTATACAAGAAATTACCCAGTTGTGTATCGACAAACTGCATTGACTAGAAGGAATCTAGAAGTTGTGATACAGAACTTTTTTGCAATTCTGCAGAGAGACCGCACAACATTTATTTACTCTAATGCCATTAGCCTAAGTCGCCCTTTTCATGGGTCAAGTATGCCTGGCTTGCAGTGATGTGTTAGGATGGATTTTTTCATTGTTACCATATGTTGGAATAAATTATAGAAGCTCACAGAGTTTACTGTGACGCACTAAAGCCTACAGAAGCAAAAAACTCGTATCTAGCTTTCGTGAAAAATCACAGTAGGAGAGCGAAAAAATTCTTGTCTTATATCTATTTTAACGAAATCTAATGAAGTCTAGTAATAAAATCGTATGAAAGACTTATTGCCTTTCAGTAAAATTTTATCGCATGACTGTGAAGTTCTAAGCACATAAAAGGACAGCCGAATAGTCCCAGCTCACAATTTCCAAAAATTTTCCACAGGACTGAATTCAAGCAGCTCCCAGAGTTGCCCGTGTTAACTCCGTGCCGGTTCAAGTAGGCATCTCGTTTTTATATCGAAGTTCCGTCACTTCGCTAGCGCGAATTTGGAACGGTGATGACACGGCGCTGGCACGGGCGACTCTAGAATGCAGTCTTTGAGAAACGAGCATTAACGCCATGCATAAAGGACGTTAGATTCCGTAACAAACAAAGACCTGCTCGATGAAAGGGAGTAAAAGGGAATTCCATGATGAGTACGAATTGACATTTATAGCAACTGTCTAGATGTAGAGTTACATTTTAGGTAGCTTTAGTCGTGCCAGGCCAAATCCTCGCGAGCTTTCCATGTTTCTTCTGTCGACAAGACGAGCTATCGCAAGCACGAAAAACAGCATGCTGATGCAATTTGGGCAGGTAACCAGTATCGGAGGCTTGGCTTATCAAGGATAATGTAATATTTTAGTTCATTTCCCACGACATCACGAAAAATGCATTATCGAATATCTGTAATTGCGGCACGAACAATATTCGCTGTGCGAACGTTATTCGACCTCCAACGGACCCAACGTTTGCGATTTTTTTTCAAAGCAAAGAAGGGAGGCTGAGTTGTGACTTTCAGGAGAGGGGCATGCGTGCCGTTCACCCGATCCGTGCACGTTTGTGGAACTGGCATGCCAGGTCGCCCTAGGGAGCAGTACAACGAGAACACGGCTTTCATTGATGGCAGCTCTGTGTACTCGTCCGAACCCGTGACGCTGCGTGAGCTGCGAGCCGGACCTTTCCTGAAGACAAACGTTTGAGTGACTCTGACTCTAGGCTTTGAAGAAGTGAATGCGGTAACTTCAGGTCGTGAACGGTCGAATGTTCCCACCAAACAATGGAAGAGATTCGATGACCGCTGGTGACGACCGAGCTACTCTCTTCGTCGGTTTGGCTGCCATGCACACCACGTTCCTTCGCCTTCACAACGGGTAACGATAGCTCGCACAGCGAACAATGATTCGAAAAAAAATGAGAGAAAGACTGAAAAATATAGTTCCAATTAACACACTGAATCATTCTCATATAGAAAATAGGACTTTATCTAGCCGCAAAAGTTATAACAATGCATTTGAGGCCTGCGAAAGTTGCTTTAAACATATTTGGCATATTGCCAGATCGCGTCGCGATTGATATCGCCTGAAGTATGACCGAAGCCTGACACATACGCTATCATGATCTCAAGTCCCACTGAAACTAAAGACTGACCATGGGAAAAAAGTTGCATTTCTTTACGCACCAAATCCGAAAATGAAATCTAATACCAATAACGTTGCGTAAACTTACGTTGTATGCACTTTAGGCAACGATGGATACTTAATTTTTAGAAATTTGTCTATTTATCATTTTGGTCCTAACAATAAGTGAGAATCGAAAATGCGGTCGTCACAGCTCAAAATGTAGCTGATTTCTTTGAACAGTGAAACCTACTCTTACAGTCTAGTGACTTAGATTTTTATTTCAACTTAGGATAGGTGCATACGGGAGAATTTTGATTATTGAATAGCACTGACTGTCATATTTTTTGGGTGAGGAGAGAGGGGCACAACAGCGACATTCTTTGAAAAAACCTTTTCTATCAATTTTGATTAGCGTAAAAATAAAATAATAACTTAAATAACTTGCGCACAACTCAATTCATTGACAGACCACTGCCAACGATTTTTTTGCTCATTCTGGAGGGAAAGGAAGATTCTCGATTAAGCTTGAACACTCACGGTCTAGAAAAACACTTATACACGACCTAGAAGAACAATATCTTGACTATGAAAACTGAAATGCTAGGACTGTAAAATTTCAAAAAAAAATCACTGACGTTCAGCGCTGCTGTTATTAAATTATGATCATGGCTTTGCTGAGAGCACTTCACAGTTCAAATACCAAGATTCGAAAGTAATATTTGGCTGATATCTACAGTTGTTTTTACGCTATCTTGCGACTCATCACTGTTTCGTTTTCAGAATTGCTGGAGATCTACAAAATATGAACAGGCACTGGAACATGGACCGCGTTTTCCAGGAAGCGAGAAAGATCGTAGGAGGTGTCTTGCAGGTAGCGATGATTGCTGCAGCATATAGACTATCAAAACATAGACTTGATTTTAGGCGATCACCTACCAAGAATTTCTTCCCGCTTTGATCGGACCCTTTTACGATAGACTTGTTCCACCCTACACCAAGTAATTTCTGATTATGCTGAATCATAAGTGGAAAAATTCCTGAGTTATAGACCCTATGTTGTGTGAAACGAATAACTTTAGATATACACCATCTATCAATCCCGGCATATTGAACGAGTTTGCAGCAGCTTCTTACAGGCTCCACGGAATGATTCAAGTACAATCGCGGCGGATTTCATCTGCTTCTAATTTCTTCAACTTCGAATTTGTCATCTCAAAAATGGCTCTCACTTTCAGGAGGGATATCCGCTGATTGGCCCTAATTTCGAGAACAGAGGTGAAGTATCCTTCCTCAGTGGAGTAGGACGCATTGAGCAAATTCTAACAGCGATTGATGCCATATACCGGTAGGCTTAGTACATTTTTCTGAGCTTCTCTGCCCACACAAGCCTTTTTCCCAACATTTCTATTTTTCCCCTAGGGGTCTCATTGCGACTCCAGCACGCAGTCCACAAAGAATCACGACATCGGTAACAGAACGACTTTTCAACGGAATGGACATGGCCACCATCAATGTTCAGGTACCTTTTTCAGCTCAATTCAAAAGTAAATTCAAAAATATTGTCAGCTACATTTCATAGCAAGCTCTCCCCTTCAGATTTCTAGCTCATTTATTCTCGCAGCCAAAAATTTAACCTTGTTTGTTTATTTTTTGCTTCATATGCAGTTCTTCCCCCAACCGTCCACAACTTATTTGTTTTGAGCTGGTTCTGCAACATATGTGCGAAACTTGCTGCTTTGTCGTCTAGAATTCGATAAGTCTTGACTTACGCTCGTTCTGATATCGAAGAAATAAGCTCGCATGCAAGAACATCCGGGAGAGAGATAGTGAAAATGATAGGCAAAATTCTCCTCGGCCCTAATTAGTATTGCAATTCGGTTCCCTTCCTAGTGGTGGTGTACATGTGCAAACCATTTCGTTCTAAGGCAATAACTTACTATTCACTGCTTCTATCAGAACTAAATCTCGCAGAAGAACACAGTGGCAAAAGACATTTTATGCACACGTATATGATTCTTCAGGAGTGCTTTCAAGTTTTGATGAAACAACTCTTTTAGCGAGGACGTGATCATGGCCTACGCCCATATAACGAGTACCGTAGGCTTTGTCGACTTCAGCCACTTACGAGTTTCAATCAGGTACGTAGTTGCTCTACTCAATACTTCGCTACTACGTTTTCTAAAAAAGTCGAGAAGAAACGAGCAATGAGAGTTTCAGATTACAAACAAGGATGAAGATTTCAAATAGTGAATCGGAGTAAAAAAATTGTTAACTGTTGCGCAGACGTATTATTCGCAGTTATTCTATGATTTGGTTTTTTCTAGCGTCGAAATTGGTCGTAATTATAGCAGAGTTGCGGAATTGCTCTAAGAAAACTGGAATGCAATTTTACTTTCAAAAAAGTCATGTTTCGTTATTTATTATTACCTGAGCATATGTAGGGCGTGGGTTCAGACAGTGAACTCACCATTTTCCACGACAATTCAATTGTCTGAAAAAAATTTTCTTGATTGCAGTGGCCGGAAGTCACCGAAGCAGCTGTTCGAGAACGAGTTTCACAGCTCTACAGAACACCGGACGATGTAAGTGTCGACATATATCGGACTGCTGACAAATGCGTGACAAAGAGAAATAATGAAGAGCAAAATTGTTTGACGCAAGAATGACAGACATTGTTGCTGATGAGGTTTTAACAGGAACTTCTTCTGAATTTGAAGAGTATCAAACATGACTTTGGGAATCGTGCACAAATGCGTCTTAAGGCAACAAAAACACTGCATTTCAAAGTACAAAATCTTTCATTGTTATCATGGGTCAAGAGGGAAGGAGCTAGGGTTAAAAAAGAACATAAAGAGTCTTATAGTAAGGTAACTGCGAGATCGAAAAATTTTGGCGGAACAATAATCTTAGCATTTGTGTAAGTAAAGCTGGATGTGTGTTTGTCCGACTGTGTGTCTGTGTGTAAGTATGTTCCGAATAGAGATTTTTTACTGAACCGATCCGGATCAAACTTGGCACACTTACACTACAGGATGCGGCGGGTGTTGCATGCTATTTTTCGTCATTGATCGGTATCGATTTTATCGATTTCTTGCAAAGTTTCGCCCACGAGACTGGGAGTTGGCATAGGGGAATAAGCAGGCCTGCTAATTATGAAAATATCATTAACAGGACCGGGCGGAGTTGGGTTTGCCAGCTAGTAGTCTTCCTAACAAGGAAAGGTTACTCGGTGACGGTAATCTGGAATGCGATGTATACCATAAGATGCACTTCCAAATGTTAATTCTAAATCTGTGCTCGATATCTGCGAAACGATCTTCCGAAAAAAGTTATGAACTTTTTTCGTAGAAAATTTGCGTACTTTGGGCAGTTAAAATCATCAGATTTATTCTAGGTTACCGTTTGAAGCTTTTGAAGAGAATCTTAGAAGGAATCCTGCCGTATACCTACCTAAATCATATTTAGCATTTGAAAAAAATTTCTTTTGTTGTTGGTTTTGACCCTCCGCAGTAGCGCAACTTGATCATGAAAAAATATTCACAACTCCACCCAGGTTATTGTTTCGCAGTTAGGAAGACATATTCGAACCAGCATCAGAAGGCGCATTTTTGATGTACAAATCATTACGAATGGTCACGGTCACCATGTATCCTCCCTTGTAAGCACTATCTAGTAAGTAAAGAATTTCTTTTTTGGTTTTTCAGATCGATCTATACGTTGGTGGAGTATTGGAAGAACCAATCCCTGGCAGCGTGGTTGGTCCTACATTTGCATGCATTATTGCAGAACAATTTGTACGACTTCGCGATGGAGACAGGTGGACACTTTGTGGTTTTTATATCTTGAAGTTTAACCCTAGTTGTGGGCTTTGCTATTGATTGACATCTCCTAGATTCTACTTCGAAAACAAGGGAGTGTTCAAGCCTAAGCAAGTGGCAGCGTTGAAGGCAGTGACACTCTCATGGGTGCTGTGCCAAACAGGTGACAGGTGAGTTGGATGAAGTTCACTGCAGGTTTCCGGAATATATCTAGGAAAGCTTTTCGCTTATTACTTTACTTAAGTATGACGAGAATCGTACCAAATGCCTTCACTATTGACCGCGGCGAAAGGGCCGTGCCGTGTTCTTCGTTGAAACCGTTGGATCTGATGGCCTGGAAGGAATAGGTATCACTTTCAAAATTTAGCTCTCGAAATCGTGCGACGATTTTAGGTATGATTCACCTCTGCAAATGTAATCGAGTTTGCTCAGCCACCTCGGATCGCTCAGTTCAGTGCCAATACTGCTCCTTCTACATAGTCAATATAAGCTTTATGCACTTACTGGTCTGACTTCGCACACATGTAACACGCTTTTTCTTCACTTGAACTGAGTGCATGCATCAAATTCTAGTTCAGTTCTGTCATGTTAATCTAAAGATTGTTGTCTTCGTTCTTGTGAGGTCTGAGCAATAGTTCACCCACCCACATTAGCGCTACATTGATGTAAACTAACTGCAGAAAGATCTCGTTACTGCCCCGTTATTGCCTAACACTGCTTTTCATAGGATCTGCGAAAGAATTATCTATAGAGTTTTTGCTTTTATGATTGTACAATAAAGGATTTAACTGTGATGTTCCGCAAGGATGGCAGTTTATCACAAAATGCAAATAATTCGGTATATGTGTGAGAAAAGGGCCCGTAGTAAAGCTCGATCAGGTATATGATCTCCCTGAAGCCCTCATGTGAGATTCCTTTAGGTGAAATGACGACCACCCACTTCTCCGCGCCATAAGAATGCAACGTCACCTGAAATGTGAGAATTAGGTCAAGTTTGGCAGTGAGATTCTCCCGCCAAGTCATGGGAGATGATGAGAGCGATGGTCTCTCGTATAGTGTGCTAACGGCTCCTCTCCTTCTTTGGGAATCATTGGCTTCTTCGTAGTGTTCATGACAGGAATGTCCAGTTCCCCGGTTCTTCACTGTGAACACCCCGGCGGATAGGCCTTCCCTGCTTGGCCACACCACTCTGTCTTCTAGTTCACTACCTCCTTCAATCGCGCCGGCACCAGTGTTGAGTTATGTGGGGGGATATATACCCGCTTTGCTACCGTCATCCTTTTCCCGTACAGCCTTTCCTGTTGCGTGTCCTCTGTTCTGAGCAATACGTCGACTCCCAAAGCTGCCAATGCGTTGGTGCCAATGAGTACGTCATCGTCCTTGACATCCGATATGTGAAAATCCACTAAGCTTTTCCTTCCTCCTTCCAGCTGCACTGGGATCTTGACTGCCCCTAAGAAGTCCATCTTATTAGCCGAGGCGTCGTATACCGGAACTATCTCTCTCTCCGGGATTACCTCCAAGACGTTTATGTCGTAGCCTGTTTCCTTTGCGCGTGCCAACAACCCTACAGGGATTATACTCATCATAGACCCGGTATCTAATATAGCGGAAGCCTGAAGGTTCAGCAGGCTTATTCGGCTGCGCACTTCTTACCTGCCAATAGGCCTTTACTTCCCTCGTAGACCTTAAGTCCCAAGCTTGTCGCCCTGCTCATCACATCAATCAACTCATCCTTCTTTTTGCCCTGTTGGAGTCCTTTATCCCTCTTGATCTGAACTTGGGTGCGTCTGTACGGACAGTCTCTTCCAATGTGTCCATACCTACCACGCTCGGCTCTATCCTACTTGTTCCGGTAACTATCCGTTTTCCTTCTTCGTCCTTGTTTCTTCACCCCCGCGCTCATAGAGTTGGTATCTTTGCTTCCATCTGAGCTTCTTGCTTGCAGCATTATGAGTTCCAAAAATCGCTTTCGATTGATCAATGCTTAGCGCTAGCTGCTTCACCGTGTTATAAGCCTCCTACGGCTCTACCCTGTGAATCGCGCTAAGTAGCTGTGTATGCTCTGGCCATCCCCTCAAGTTGTCCATCGAGATCTGCGTGTACTCGAGCAACCTATCCCCTACCGTAGCGGTAGGATTGGCTTGCCTGCCCAGCCTCTCGAGTACCACACAAAACTCCGCCACACTTTGGCCCTCTCTCCGTTTCAACTGTCTTAGCTCTGCGAGTGCCCTTAATCTCCCCGCTGTTGAGTCATTGGCTAACAGTTTCCTCAGCGCTTCAGTTACGCTTTCGAAACCCCTATGCTTCACTTCCTCTGGTAGCGCCAAAAAGACGCTTTTTGCCTTCCTTCAAGGTGGTCATCCCCCAAGATTCCAATCAGTATTTGCTCATCCCTAATGGGAGACCGTCAAGAGGCTCGATTTCTTCGGCTGTCACCAACTTGAAACTCCAGTTTAGTGCCATGCGAGTCTTCAAAAATTATTAGATAAAGTGCATTAGCCTACAGTTCGTCTGAGGTCACTACCTGCTGAGTTTCATGGTTTTTGTTACGAACCGGACTGAAATACTTACGAATTTGTTCTGAAATGCATTTTCATGAGTTTTCAACCTTCAAAATTGCTGTTTTGAATTTTTTCTAGATAATCAACATTGAACAACTCATGTAACTATCTAATATATCTTCTTCTAAATTTTATATACTTTTAGAAAGTTTCAAAATACTTATTACGTGCTATTTGGTGCCCAGCTGCCGATAAAGATCGCGCCTCTTGACATACACCCATCCCTAATCACCCCTTGGTACTTTCTTTTGAACCTCCTCAAGAATTCCTCAAAACTCTCATGCCTGCCACCCTTGTATACACCAGGGCTCACGCATGCGTTGGCTTGCATGAGAGCTATCAAGCTTTGAGACTGACTTGCCTCTCCGGCTCGTCCCGCAAATGCTGCTTCCAGCGCGATCCTGAGGGGTTCCCACTCGGTGTCCACGTCGGCCATGGCTTGTTCTGTAAGCATTCACCATAAGCTCCATATTGGCTTTGGCTTTCTGAACTGTCCTGATCTGTGCGACTTGGACCTACATCCATGTTCTCCACCGCATCCCTCGACCTGTTGAGGGCGCTCTTGTGCACTTCTGTGAGCACCTTCATCACCTGGAACATATCAGTATTGAACATCTCACAGATGTCATTTAACCACTTTCCCTTGATTTTCTCTAGTTCCTCATTTACCGACTTAGCCTGCTTCCCTATGACTTTATCAATTTGATCTCTGTACTTTCCTGCTATTCTTGCCTCTTCGGTTTCTCTTCTTACCCCTTCAGGCCCTGCTTGAATCCTCCTCATTACCTCATCTACCCCTTTTATCCCATTTCTTATCCTTTCTCTTATGTTCTCAAGGCTCACCTTTACGCCCTGGGCTGCTCCGACCTCTGCGCCCTTCTTCACACTGCCTCTGGCGGTCTCTTTCGCCATTTCGACACTGAAATCAATAAGTTTGGTTCCTTTCTCCACCACAGTCTTCACGGTGAACCACGACGATGCAACTTCTATCTATCGATCGGTTCGGCCCCCATGTAATCCTTTCGGGCTCGGTGCGATAGATAGAAGGGCTTGTTAGCCTCTTGCACAATCAAATACACATGTAACCCTTCCCGGCTCGGTACGATAGATAGAAGGGCTTGCTGGCCTCTTGCACAATCAAATACACCAGTTAAACAATTTATTTCAACAAAAAGAAAACATCGACAAAAAGAAAAACTCAATGAGATGAATGAGTGATGAGGTAGAAAAACAAAAAACTATCTGGAGCTAGGAGACTTCGTCGGATCCCTCAGCGAAGCGCTATCTATCCTCAAAATGCGCGCCCAAACGGTCGCTTGGCGGCCCTTTCGTAGGTCGCCACTCTTGATCTCCACAGGATGCATATTCCAAATGTGGTAATACATAAGCTTTATAAAGCCTGACCAAAAGATTCGCATTTTTATGGGTGCTTCTCATTATAAGGGAAAGAACAGAGAGGGACCTTTGTGACCGAGTAAAAAATTGAGTTGTTCATCGTTATGGGTTTGTATGCAGATTTGCTAGCTGTACATATTAGGCCTCCGTCCCCATAATGAAGCGAGTCTTAGTGAAAATAGATAACTCACAAGTCCACAAAAATTGCAGCGTGAAGAAACGCAGTCAAGAATCAGAATTTCAAATGGATGCAGAAACATTTAGTGGAAATGTCGGCAGCCAAGACTTTGGTCTCATTGCGCTGATTATTTGCGCAGCCAAGTTCAACGGCTCCTGCAGTCTTTGGCAGCAGATGAGCAAAGTTAAAAGGAAATAAAAGTCAGAGATCTCCCTGCTTGACATCCGTCACTATGCTCTTCATTGCCATCGTATTCACTCTTTTTGCCTTGGCTTACGCTCAAATCCTGAGCTGCAGCACTGCTACTTCTCGTAGGTCAAAGAGGTACAAAGACTTCAAGCGGATACTGATCAAGACTTTCAGCTTCACTGAACAACGCCTGTCCCAGTGGATATACCCTGGTCTCCAACGCATGCTGTCCCAATGCAAATGTCATCAGTAAGTAATGAAACCGTTCAACTTGGAACTAAGTAAATTGAGCTTTTTTAGCCGTCACCTCTACGAGAGCACCCACCACTTGCGTAGACAAAGTAACCAGTAGTGAAGAACTTTGATAGAGCTAAAAAGTTACTTATCCAGATCAACGCTCAAACGCTGAAGTCTGACTGCCCTGCAATGAAGAGCTATTGCAACAACTCCGCTTACAAAGCACTCATGACGGAACAGTGTCGTCTTACTTGTGGACTATGCACCAGCAATCCTGGTATGTTTCCCTCTTTTAAGCTCTATGAGAAAATTCACTATCCTACTTCAACGAATCTGCTCAAAGCTTGTTTATAGGTGAAATTTCAACTTAAGAACTAATCATAAGTTGAAAAGCCAAAAATCAAACGAGAATGGGTAAGCAAACATAATTTGAAAGGGCTGGCCTGTGCTATATCCTTTTCAAATTTTGGGTCTCTCAAGACAAAAAATTAGGAAGGGAGTAGGAAGGGTTTCGCGTCTTCAAACAACATATTGCACAGCTGGCTTAATCTTAAATTTTCAGTTCAAAGCGAGTTACGGTCTATCTTCATTACTGTAGGATTACGAAATAATTGAATAAGCCTCCATCTCGAAAAAAAATTTTCAAGAAAAGGAATCTGCGTTCCACCAAGGGTTTTACGTAAGCTGAATATACTTTTAGGTATCTTAAATATCTTTGGGGAACACTGAGAATACACTCGGCTGGTCATGCTTGGCATAACTTATGAATTAAATTCTAATAAAGTGCAAACTTAATTAGCAGCACTTCGATTATTAGGTTGCTTTGTTGGCTATTCGGGGCATTGAGCCCACTATCGCTCAGACCTCTTCAAATTTCTACCATAATCTACAGTATAGAAGAAAGGTCTGTAAATCGCTCCATACTGCTCTGAGTTGAACGACACTAAACTGACTTTCGAATGACCGCAGCTCTTCATTCAAGAGGGTTATAGAAGATCAAACCTTCGGTACAATTTTTGGGACAACCTGTAGGTAAGCTTTCCCTCTGAATACATATCCATGATATAAGGTAGATATCTACTACAATGTATGAGCTGATTTTTATTGCTAGCGACTCATAGACTACAATAAAAGAGCCAAACTCACACACCATATACAGCAATACGTTGAATCAGCACTTCAATCTCGTACTCCGAATCTACAAGTGTGTTTTGACTGATCCGAAACATTTTAGCCCCCACATGCGCCGATGTGCCGAACTCAAAGGGAGTGAACGAATGCCCAGGGTTGTCCAGCTACTGCCTCAACTCGGTCTATGCTCCCTTGATGAAGACTCAATGCGCCAGAACTTGCCGATATTGCTGATTCGTTGGAGGAAGTTGGTTGCCTAGTAATGCTAACTCAAGTAAATAAAGATTGATTTTTCAATGTGCTTCGAATGTCCTTGTGTCAGCTCCGGTATAAAGTTTCCGCCACATTGTGGAAGTCAAGAAATTTGGGAGAGTCACACTACAGTCCCGCAAGCTGCAATACAGCGGAAAATGGAACACGTTCAAAGAAAATCCGGAAAAGCTGGCTTAAATTTAGGGTTCAGCCGTGAAAGAAGGTAAAATCCCCCAGCGATTGCGGCCACACGTGTCGTGCTTGTTGTGCTGGATGTATGCGCCCACAAATCGTACTGGTTTCTTCGAATTCTCAGAAAAAAGCTTCTGTATGTAAAGACTTTTCCACAGACTTCCACATAAAAGGTCGTGTATAGCTAAATAACTACAAATATTTTCTATCTGGAGTCACGTACTGTGAACCTTCATTTTGGTTGAAAGGAAGCACAGCCTTCACCTAGAAACGATCCGAAAGCATTCGCGGCAAAGCCCGCATTCGGAACCTGCGGCCCTGAAAAGTGATATTATTCCGAGAGGGACCGCGCTTATGCAATAAACTAAACGTACCCCGGAGTTGATTTTGTAAGAAAACTTTGAGATATTTTTGGCAACAGAGCTCCTCCTATAAGTGTCATCTATGTCATTGTAGAGTTTGAGAAGCAAGCAAAACTGATAGGGCGAGCTGTAAACTGCGCAAAAATCTAAGCACGTGATTGCTGGTTATTATTTAAAGTGAGCTTATTGGTCTAGAACATGTTCTGATCATCTTATTACGAACAACATAATGCGTGATTTACGTGCTGTTCTAAAGACGATACCTTCTTTAGATAGAGCTATGTACCCTGCTAGTTTTCGATATAAAATTTAATTCTGGCCTCAAATCATCTAGAGCCATTGAAGCCTACTAATAATTTGACAACGTCACCCGCTTTCTCAGTTTGTACAGAAATTCTGACAAAATTCTGTTTTTGTAATCCTTCTACTTTGCCTCCAACCAGTTATTGCTGCGGTGCTGTCCTCGATGCTTCGCCTGTAAAGTAGGCAACGCCGCTGAGTTCAACATCTCAGGTGTGTTGGAATATCGGATGAAAGATTGTAAAAATGCTAGTTTCATTTTTTGATGAGTGAGTACGCAAACTTTCTATGCTTGGGTTTCGAACGACACGAACTTCGCAGTAAGACGCTAGGAATAGCGCTCGGAAGCCTGTGCTTGTATTCGAGAAGAAAAAAATTTTTTGTTCTAATAAGTTATTTCTGTGTTGTCTATTTCTTGACAATCGCCATATCCAAACCAAGACTGATTTGAGACCAATCTTCGAAAAAAGCGGTTTTCGAGTTTTCTTCCAGTTTCAAGAATTCTTAAACGAAAACCTTCATATCGAAGTGTAAAGAAAGACTTCAAATATTGAGTATTGAGCAGTTAGTGCCAAACGTGGCTGGTTGTGATTTTCCTCTAATGCAAATCTGCGTCTGCGCGCTGCCTTCCCTCATCCTCACCGGCGCAGTTGGATTTGATATACTTTTTTTTCTCTAGTATTAAAAGCGCTAACCGTGTGCCAACATGGCGCGAGTGTTTGATCAAAACTGAGACGTCAGATTTCTGACAAGAAGCCCGACCTTGTCGAACTTCAAGCGAGATTGCATTCGCCTACCGAAAACACGCTTGCGAACGCCTCGACAATACGAACAAGCAGCGCTCTTCTCCTCTTAAGCAGCGTCAGACAGTCAGAGGGAATCTCATAGACGAGTTTTCCAACTTAAGCCAAATCCAGCCGATGTTCGTGTGCCACATCTCCTCCTCAACCCTGCTTACAGAGCTAAAGGCACCGTCCACCCAAAATTTCGACCTCCACGTCTTTGCCGTTCCAGGGTCTTCTCACACCCGATTCCGAATATCAAGTCGGAAATCCGCGAAAACCACGAAAAACCCTCGTTTTTAGAACCCGCAAAGCGACTTCCTTGGAGCGATTGGATGGGCGCGCACGGATGGGCGGGACGAACGTCACTCCCACTCAAAGGGGAGGAGCCAACGTAGCGATTCGAAGCAATTTTCTCGCTTTGGAAGCAACTTTTGCCAGCGCGAGTTGGACAAGTATACAGCTGGGGGCCCACTACTGTTAGGCATCAAAATCTCATCGACCTCATTTTGGGTGGACGGTGCCTTTAAGGAAGAGATGTGGCACGCAAACATCGGATACTCCGCTCCCTCTAGGCGTCTCAATACCCCGACCCCTCCCCTACAATATTACTGTCTACCTAACGTAGGTCCTAACCAAGCATAGAGATTAACATATCGTAATAAGCATGTCAAATAACCCCTGTGGACCAAGTTTCAGCGCATTCTGAAGTTTCCAGGTACATATTGGGTTATCCAAGTGAAATGATCTTTTCCAAACATGATTGACTTTGTCACTTTCTAAGGTCTACCTACAGTCGAGTAGATTTCCTGCTTAATATAGTGTCCCTGCAGACGCGACAACGCTGGGGCGTCAATAATTGCCTGACGAGTTCCCGAGCTAGTGTTTTCCAGTGTTTTCTTTGCTTATTCTGTGCTTTTTAGGTGATTCGTCGCTGATAAAGAAGAAAAGGGTAAGTTAGAGAGTTTCTGTTTTCTGAGAAGTTCTATCATCGCATATTCCCAGATATCCACATGGAAGCAGTTTGCATCAGCTTCTTGCCTATTTTTTTGTCACTTCATGTCTCTTTCTTCTTGTGAGGTACTTCTTTGAATGCTAGTGGGTTTCTACGAATGACTAATTGTCTTTATCACATGAAGTACTTAATTAGAATGCTATTTCTTGTGGATGAAAGCCGAAGTTGCAGCAGGACAAGCCAAGTAGCGTTCAAAGAAACGCCTCACAAGAAGGAGGAGGAGGTTTGAAAGAAGAAGTGACAGAAGAAAAGGAAATGACAAAAAAAAAGACAAGAAGCTGACGCGAAATGCTTCCACGTGGATATCTGTGAATATGCGATGATAGAACTTCTCAGAAAACAGAAACTACTCTTTAACTTACCCTTTTCCTCTTTATTAGCAATGAATCATCTAAAAAGCATGAAATAAGCAAGGAAAACACTGGAAAACACTAGCTCGGGAACTCCCAAAGCATTTATTGACGTCCCAGCGTTGTCGCGTCTGCAGGGACACTATATTAAGCAGGAAATCTACTCGACTGTACTTCTTTTTGCACGTAGTACAAAGCACTAATCGATGTTTGCTGTGAGGATATAGGTATAAGCCACTCGCTACATGTCTCTTTGCAGGTAAACTAATGTGATGTGGAAAGACCCCACACAACATTTATACATCTGGATTTCCGATTAGTTAAAACCACTGACCTTTTTCTCATGACAATAGAAGTTTCATCCGAAATCTTCACTTCTAGAAATGTTTTAGTCGTTTTCTATCTCTTATTTCATGGCAAATATTGGGCTACGATAGTATGCTAAACCCATGCTGCTTATACAGCAGAGGGTTGGCAAAAATAAATCTATTGAATAGCTTGGATCTCTCAGTTTTCATAGAGCGTAAGCTAATCTGTCTTCATCAGTCTGAGTGACAGGTGGTGAAGCACAAGAATAGCGAAAATGTGATAAACGAGATTTCGGGTTTTTGGTATTATATGAATTCAATCCCGCTCGAAGTTCGACAAGTTTGAGCTTCCTGTTGCATGGAACCTGACACCAAGTTATGACTGAATACTCTCGCTTACGGCTATGGCAGCATTTGGTACTAGAAAAAAAATAAAAGACAAAAACAAGACTAAAAAGCACCGTCCTATAACTATGAAGCTTACGTGCACTTCTCAAAGCTTGCATTGAGTTACGAACATAGGTTTCTCATAGGGGATTGTTATTTATTTATATTCTGATGAGAATGTTTGAATGACATGAGAGCTAAAACTTGCATGATATATTCCTTATTTTCATTCGCTTCGCAACGATGAAAAAAGTCCTTGTTCAAATAGATATTTCGTGTGCCGTTAGCTTTTGGGCAGATGTCTAGTCATTTCGCCATTTCCAACAGAATATATGGCACAAGCTCGTTACATTCCCGCATGTCGAACAGTTAGTAATCTCCCTTCCAAATCGCATGAAGCTCTTTTTTGCAGAGACTATGTATTAGCGAAACTTGACCCAGCAAATGGAATATACGGTACGGTAGGATTCTTCTTGCCTTACGATACATACTATAGCTTTAGTGTTTATGGAGGGATATCTCTACATCGTGTTATTATTACTCTCTCTATATAAATATTTATGGGTGTCCCAAAAAAATGTGCCTACTGTCTGAATGTTAAATTCTCTTGTTACAGTCTTTCGAGAAGCTTTGGGTATTATTTTGTAGCTGGCTTCAACTTAGATTTACGATATGGAGCGAATCACCGATTGCTCTTCATTACTGTAGGATTACGGTAGGAACTTAAAGAAGGTTTTGAGCCACGAAAGACCATATTTTGCCTCAGAAAGCAGACAGAACAACCTGAAAACTTTCATAGCAGGCTACCTAAAGTCGATGAATTTGAGTGTGAAGTTCGCAACTTATCATAGTGCTTTGTCAAAAAGTTATGCCAGGTAAGCTATACCGGCCGTTTTTCAATGTTCCCAAAAAAGTGCGGTTTCACCGTTTAAAAAGCTTCGCAATCTTGTAAATAGTTGAGTATTAAACTCAGCATTCATGGAAACCCTATTGCACAATTTTTCACATTTTTTTTAAAAATTTCGACACGGCAGCTTTTTCCACAGTGACACCATATGCATGAAGCTTCTACCGTAATCCTACAGTAATGAAGAGTGATCGGCGATTTTTTTCACACTATAAATCTAAGGTTGAAGCCAGTTCTACAAAATGGTACCTAAAGCTTCTCGAAAGACTTTATTACAAGAGAGTTATTAACAATCAAACAGTAAGCATATTTTTTTGGGATAGCCTCTACATGAAATGTTGAAGGCGCATTCCTTTCGCGAAATGATATTATTCACAAACTTCACATCAAAGCACAAACACAATTCTCATAACTGCTTTGCCTCTGCAGTATCTTCCGACCTTTTTGCTAATGAATGCAAATCTTTTCTTTGATATAAAGCTCTCATCATAACTGTCTAATCAAGTATGAGGGTGGCCATAATTCAGCAAATTTAGCATTTTTGATGTAGCACGTACCAGTATATTCCCTAATAATTTCCTTAACAATCCATTCATTAATTGTAAATTATTAGTTTCTCCGGAGAAATGCCGCACCACATGCTACCGCGGCAGGATAAACACGAAAAAGTGAGCGGGCTATCATTTGATGGAGCAAAGCAAGGCCTACAAGTTAGCATACTCTCCGAACAAACTTCACCCCATATGAACTTTGAGGACAAATTATATGTTTAAATTATCCAAAAAATCGTAGCTCTGCCCATAGAATTCTTTGTGTCCTTCAATTTGCACAAGTATTTAAGCCCACATTTTGAATTCAAGTATGCAAATTGCGAACTTTTTTCATGGCTAGAATACGAAAACAAAAATAAGCTAGTAAAGCATGTGGTTTTTTTTTCAAGTATATCTTGTGCTAATAATTTTGTGCCAAATTTGAAATTTCTCGGAAACTAGCCCTTGTAGAAAACGAATTCATTCTCATACATACCTCCAAATGCTTGAACCGTAAAAAATCATCTATGTGCCTGAGAGAAGCTCAGGATTGCTTTGGAAGAAGTTTGTCATTTAATTTTGTCGATTCGTGGCCGTGGTGAAATTGCAGTGCATACCATTGCCTAATATAGAGAGTATGTGAGTGATCGAGTTGGAGGTCCCTAACAATTTTCTGGACTGGGATATGAATTCTTTTGAATTTTCCAGCCTTTTAGGGCCTTTGGATATTTGGCTTCAGCTACCTAAATCAAAGTTGACGGTCTTGGATCTTTTTCTTGAAGGGCTTGGTTTGCTCTATTGAAAAACACCCCCTTCGCTTCTTTTTTTTATTTTACACCGCCGCGATGTCACATGAATGCTCATCATGCGACATTATTTTGTGGACAATCTAGTACTTTCGTGAATGTAAAGCACACCTCGTTGTTTGGTAGGAAAATAAGACCATGGAAGCAACATTTTTCACGACAAATAATCACGGAAGGCATAGAAAACCGCTAGCTATATCAATTGTCAACACATAACAAGTAAGCGAGATTTTCAAATTGACTTTCGAAAAGTGTATGTACTCAAACTGAAAGTCAAATGAAAGTTCCTGTGTGTAGGGAGTTTATTGTGTAGAGAAGTACAAAAGCATGAGAATACTCATTATGAAAATGAGTTATTACATTGAAGCGATATACAAACTATGAAAAAACTGCGCATCAACGGTATTTGCTATAAGTGAATATAAGTCCTTAAAGGATCAAGAAATACAACAAGCACTTCGCGTTCTTGTTTTATGATCCTTCCCTCACTTATGTCGTGCATTGTAGAACCCTCTTAACAAGATCCAAAGCAAGTTTCTTCATTTCTTTACGTTGTTTCGCCTTTCTCTACGATTGTTTCCCTGTTGACCGTATATAACAGTTTCTGGCTTATTTACTTTTCCTAACTATCTTGTGAAAAGTGAAAACACGAATGTGAGGGAAATTTGGTTCTACTCCACCCCGATCGACCAAATGCACGGTCGTGAACTTCTAAATTTTCGAGGAAGATATATATGTCTAGCACGTTGGTCAGTTATGCAAAAAATGGTGCTAGCTACGGCGTTTTCAGCACCATCTTGGGACGTAGTTGATATGTTAGGCAAATGGCTCGGAATCTCGCTCGAATCAACGCTCGACTTCTTCTAAAGAGGTCCTCCACTGCCCTCGAAAATTTCATTTTCGACGGTGAAGAAGCGCGTCCAAAACTGCACCAGTATCTATGTATGATAATTTGAGCAAAATGGAGTTTCTGAGGCGCAATTGAAATTACAGTTGTAATCATCTGAAGAGCATCAAAAAAATCGTAGGGCATTTTGCCCATTTGTTAGATACTCGTAACCTCAAAAAATGGAAGAACATCGAACCACTACATAAATCAGTACTATGCTCCTGCAAGATGCAATTGCCTCATTTCAACGATCGCTTTGTGTAATTGCTCGCATTTTGCAGTCTGCTGTAGAACAGTTTTGTGGTGGCAAGGGCGCTATCATAATTCTGAGAAAACAGTATAAAACTTGGACATGAGAATGCACGAAGTATCCTTTGATTCAGTTGGATTGGCGACTGGGAGGCGCGACTTCGTGACTAACTAGGGCTAGAGAATTATCATAGACCACGTTCGCGAGTGAGACGCAGATTGCGTCGCAGGTGGGAGCGGTCGCCTTCCAGCCGCCAACTTCGTTGAATCAAAGGTTTAGTCTCTCTTTTGGATGTATATACAGCTGGCACTTCATTCATAGAATAGTGTCACACAAAAGCGCAACGTTCTAGCTAAATATACAGTCGAGTAGATTTCCTGCTTAATATAGTGTCCCTGCAGACGCGACAACGCTGGGACGTCAATAAATGCCTTGCGAGTTCCCGAGCTAGAGTTTTCCAGTGTTTTTCCTTGCTTATTTTATGCTTTTTAGATGATTCGTTGCTAATAAAGAGGAAAAGGGTAAGTTAAAGAGTAGTTTCTGTTTCCTGAGAAGTTCTATCATCGCATATTCACAGATATCCACGTGGAAGCATTTCGCGTCAGCTTCTTGTCTTTTTTTTGTCATTTCCTTTTCTTCTGTCACTTCTTCTTTCAAACCTCCTCCTTCTTGTGAGGCGTTTCTTTGAACGCTACTTGGCTTGTCCTGCTGCTTCGGCTTTCATCCACAAGAAATAGCATTCTAATTAAGTACTTCATGTGATAAAGACAATTAGTCATTCGTAGAAACCCACTAGCATTCAAAGAAGTACCTCACAAGAAGAAAGAGACATAAAGTGACAAAAAAATAGGCAAGAAGCTGATGCGAACTACTTCCATGTGGATATCTGGGAATATGCGATGATAGAACTTCTCAGAAAACAGAAACTACTCTTTAACTTACCCTTTTCTTCTTTATCAGCGACGAATCACCTAAAAAGCACAGAATAAGCAAAGAAAACACTGGAAAATACTAGCTCGGGAACTCGTCAGGCAATTATTGACGCCCCAGCGTTGTCGCGTCTGCAGGGACACTATATTAAGCAGGAAATCTACTCGACTGTACCATTTTGAGTTTTTCTCCGGTGATAGAAAATTCTACTAATCAAAGGAAATACACATAACAGGACCAACACCATCTGCAGTCGAATTTTTATATGATCATGTGTGGCATTGCACACACCGTCCATCTTTGGCGTCCTCAGATTAATGGACAAGAGACTGATTATTCTCACCTATATCATTGAGGTAGTTAGTATCTAGAAAGAGTAGAAAACATTGAAAACACATCGAAAACATTTACTTGAAGAGTTGTCGGCTTCAAGAATCCAGGATGGGGACGCCAAAGGTGGACAGTGTGTGCAATGACACACATGATCATATGAAATGATTCGACTATATGTACTTTCCAAAAAGTGCTGCTGTTTTCACTTTTGCAAACGTTCTGAACGAGCTGGTCGCATTGGGTCCCACAATTCTTTGAGCCTTCCTTTTAGTGTGTCGTCTTCTCAATAGGCTAATCTACTCACTTGCGACTGCCGGCTCTTCGGGCGAAGGAAGCGCCATGAAAAAAAGAGTCGCGGCTCTGGAGAAATGCCTATCGCAATTCTCTCAACTTCTTGACTCCCTCTCTTTCCATCAGAGTAGCCCTTATTCAACCGAAATGGTTGTAACGCACAGCTCAGCCTCCATGCACGGTCATTCAGCCATGGCATTTGTTCGGCATCCTCTGCGTCCATAGGTTCGCTCTGACTTCCCGCGCTCTCGCCGAACGACCTCTCCCATTTTGCGACGGCCTTTCTCGCTTTGCTGTGGAATTCAAGTGCCAGCCTGCAAGAAATCAAGTACATTTTTGAGAAAGAAAACTTTCTTCTACTGACTCGAGTGGAGGTAGGTCAAGCAATGATCTTTTCGATGGCAATAATTTCATTCGTTTTGCTTCCTTCATCATTTGCAGTTGCACATCCTTTTCGATACACTTGCCATTTCTTTTTTGCTCAAAGCCTGTTTCCTCAAGGTTTTTTTCCGCATTTGTGCTTGTTGAGCTCGTAGCCAAGATTGATGCAAAATTTTGCGGAGCAGGTGTTAAAGAGTAACTTTTATTTCCCTACTTTTCCCTTCTGTTCAGTTAAAATTCTCCTCCAGACCTTCATATGAAAACAGCGAGGCCGCTTGCGTTAGCCGCCATATATATCAGATTTCATTTAGAAGCTGCACACTCTTCCGAATTCATTTCTATTCGTAAAACTGCACTGTTTTCTACATGATGCTTGCTGTTGCATACTTGCTTGTTCGTGGATTCAGCTGTTTACAGTTTTTGTCTACCTTCATGTTGGTTAGTCTAAATTTTGTACATTGCTTTCGGTGTCATCTGTCTTGGTCGTCGTTTCATCGCGTACATTCCTATCAAGTTGATTTGTTCTTTGCGTTCACCTCCAAACGGCACAGATATCAGTTTTTGATTTTTTGCCATGCTTTCTTTACAATGTCTATTATTTATTTGCACTTCCTCTTTCTTTACTTAGCAATTTGTTTTTAAAATGAGTCCAAAGTTTTGCATATTTGCTAATCTGTTTTCCTTGGCTTTTGATGCAGCTGTTATTATCTCTTGGTAATTAGGTTCTTTTCGTCAACTCAGTATAGTATCTTTGTCAGCTGTCGCATAGTATTTCCAATTACGCGGCAAAAATGGGGAAAGCGTAACTCCTCCTCTGCATGAATCACTCGCCTTCGCAATCTCTACGCGATTCAAAACAGACGCCTCAGTGCGCTGTCATTTCATTTTGGCTCACATTCTCGCCTCTCCAACGGTGTTTGTCTCCATACTTCCGGTAATCGATATACTGCTCACGACTCTGTGATAGTTTGTGTAAACATTGGAACAATATCTGCATGTACGCCAGAACCTAGATTGCAGCTATAGCAATAGCTCTTTGCTACAGAACAGATTTCGCAGTCGTTGCACCGTTTGCTACAGACCCCCTATAGCGCCCAACAGGTTGTTCGTGGTTCCAAGCCGAGTTAATCACATCGTCCCTGGTTGAAATTGCATTTGCGCAGTTATTGCTAAGAGTTTGACCCTGTGGTTTACTCAACAAAGCACTAGGATCAATACTTAGGGAAAATACGCATTTCGACCCCACTTTGCATTTCGCCGTAATTGCCCTTAGCTCAACTGACTACTGAAAATTAGTGTCTTTTCCCATCAAGTGTGGATTAGATCAGTCCAGGGTTTCGATGTATCATACTAGAAACTGAACAGATTTATTTAGGTGGGTGATACTTCTGGAAATCGAAAAAATAGCTGTTATTCTGTTTCTTTTCTATTTGAAGCATCTTCCGGAAACCTGGTGCTGGTAAAAGCCAAGAATGAATGTCTCACGAAGGATGTTGTTGTTGAGTTTTGCCCTTCTTGATGAGTTGTTGAGCTGTATAACATCACCTCGATAGGTGTTGAAAGCTATATCTTACCATATAACCTAGTATAGTTTACCTATTGTCTTGTTCAAGGAAGAGTGACGACAAGAGTTTGGATCTTACACCGTGTATAACTGAGAAACTCAAGATAGTGTGACAATTTAACTATTGCTGAGGTCTTTCCATCCATTGACCCTGAGCTCAAGCAAAGAGTGCTTGTTACTTCTCCCCGTTCTCCTGCGACTCCTTTATCAGCGCAGCGGATCAGCACGGTGTGAACGGTAATTGGTTCCCGTCAACCAGTGTTTACTACTTTCTGTATAATTTGTCATCAAGTTCTTTACGTTCATTCCGCCATACTAGGAATTAATGGCGCAATTACTTGAAATTGCCATATTGACCCAGTGCGGAAAACTTCACATCGTGCCACAAACAGTTGTCCATGATTGATGTCCTGCTCGGTAATTCTCATAACTCTCAATATAAGTTTTATGAGACAGTTCTGTGAAGTAATGAATCTAAAAGTTGTAATTTATACAGCGAAGCTTTGTGAAGGTTTTGCTTCTCAGTCAGCTAGGTACACGACATTGGAAAGTGCACAGCATGCATATAATTACGATATCATATTCCAGTTTTTGCATTTGCACAGGTAGAATTTTCATTTGAACATTACGCTATATATTCTTTATATAACATGCTGTACTCTTCCTTGGCTCAAACGCATGGCAATGCGTTACATTTAACATCGAGAAATCTTAGTTTTACAATTCAGAATTGCATAATGAGCGTAGGTTATGCATGAATATGGCGCGATTTTATGGTCCTAATAATAAGATTCATCGTGGTCATCCCAGTGTCTCAAAACATTTCGTCATTATTGCCAAATGTGATCGATCACTCTTTGTGTATTTTGTGACATTCAGAAAAAGATCTACGCCTTCTGCTTTGAGATGAGAAATATGAAAAGGGAGGAGGCAATTTAGTCGTACTCTCTCATCTTGTTTACGCTCCTCTTATGTCGTTTTCTGTTCTCTCCTTCCTTTTTCTAATTTTCCTATTTTGAATATCGCAAATGCATTGATACTTTCGAATATACCATCACTGGGGAGTTGCCTCGAAGAGTAATCCTGTATTTTCTATGTATCAAAAGAACTGCTTTCTTCGTGAAATCTGTGTTTACAATCTCACCCTCCTAGAAATACCTGGCATTCATGCGTGCTGTTCTCGCAACATCATATCTAAGAATCTGGTCTTGATGTAGCTCAGTTGCTTGGTTCATAAACATGGAAGAGTATCTTGACGCGGGAACGACTTCTTCGCTCTAATTGATTGCTCGAAAAAATTACTCTTTTTGGGCCTCTAGAATTTGGCTTTCTTTATGCCCTCCTCAGATGCCGTGCACCTCCAGTTCCTGAACACAGCTCTTATATTTTGCGCTGCTAATGATGAGTGCGGCTGGCCGTTGTTTGTTGCCTTCTCGGCAGCGAAAGTCCATCTTTGCACACCACTTGTTCTTTCGCTATACTGAAAGAAATTTCATCAGTGGCTTAGCTGTTGCTACATTTCTTTTTGGGACATTGCGTTATGTGCGTGTAAATGATTGTCGATACTTCAACGCACTATCAACACTGCTCAAACGTTTTTTCTGTATTGACTTTTTTGCACGCACTTGAATCTTTTATCGCGCAGAAACGCCTTCTATTCGAATCAGTTTTATATTCAGCTCGGAACTGACTGCTTGTTTGTCTGCTAAAGTCATCCTTGGCTATCTCATGCTGCACACCTTCTGGATTTTGTCATATGTTTTACAATTCCTATACATTTTGCCGTTTGTATGCAAGTCTTTATATACGTTCGCTATAATCGTGCTGCTACACACATTATTCGAAACATACTGATCGTTTTCGCATTCGTCCCGAAGTGTATTAAATATAAGTTTATTTCGATGAATCTTGCTCACTTTCACCACTATTTTTTCTTACACTTGACTGGCCTGCTGGCCCGGCCTTGGCAACTATCATGGATGAATCATCTCATGAACGATTACGTCTTCTTCACTCACGATCGCCACTACTTTGACTTTGTGACTACAAAGTGCTCACTTTTCTTGTCGTACGTTTTATGTGTGTTTTTTTCATAAAAGATTCTGAAGAAAAGACTACTTGTCATAGCTAAAAAAACATCGTTAATGTCAGCCTTGCAAAGTATCGTCATTTTTCCTGCAAGTGCGATTGTGGTATTAGAGATGTTTTTAAAACGTAATATCAACTGCTATTTTGGGGTGAAAAGTGCAGAGCATAGTTTTTGCTTGCATTCTTTTCTTTTGCAGCCTCTTCTCACAGTCTTTTTTGTGTGGCAGTTTCAGACAGTAGGATTATCTCTTTTTGGCTGGTAATCTGGTGTAATTCGTACAGACAGTGTTTTTGCGCAGAAACGGCATATTGCTATGCCTTTGAGCAGTGCAATCTCAAACAAATGCTACGTTGCTGGTTAGCTCTCACATGTAAGCTGCCGCATCGTCAACTTCGCAGCACAGAAAAATCTCTGATACTCTTAAAGTCAGCGATAAGCCGTTGCGATCCACTCTAGAACTAGTCTGTAATGTTCATTGGCATCAATAGTTCACGCTCATCAACGAAATTCGTGTTAGCTTTCGCGCTACTTTTGCATTATAACCATAGAATAAGCGACTTTCTTCCTTCGTCTACAACGTTCCTTGTGTATGATTTTTTCACTGTTTGCTGTTTTACTCCGTTCTATGAATGAGCATATATTGGAGAACCATTGAGAGAGAATGCTTTGCTCCTTATTCACTGGAATATGGAATGTTTTATCGCCTCACATCAAAAGCAAGAGACAACTCTGAATTCGGTTTGTGGATACTCTTAAAGTGATATCGTGAGGCGATTTTCTGCTCGTTTTCTGCAGTTGAGATTTTATCGTTTGGTCACATATGCTCATCTTACTCAAAAGCGAAGTGGAGCTTTTGAATTTGTGAGATGATGGTCTTCAAGGAACGATTTATTGACATAATTTTGATTCTTACTCTCCTAAAATGGATCAGTCTTTGTTGTCCGTTCTGTATTCTCGAAATCTTGAATTCTCTTTCTTGTCGTAGCGTTAATGAATTTTACATTGCACATTGTTGTTCCTTTTTTTCGTTGCAGTTTTCATCAAAATTATCGATTTGTCATTGTCGGCGTTAGTTTGTAATAGCTGCAAAAACATCTTTACGAATGTTTCGACTGTACTACTAAAATAATCGTTCAATGTTTCGCTGCAATTTTCAACCGATTTTCCCATTAATACGACCTAATTCTTGTTTATATTCGTCTCAATGTATACTTCTTCATTTGCTGTTCGTTTGTGATGGCTTGATTGTAAGCGTGTGCTGCAGTGCCCTTCCAGAATCTCGGTTGTTTTTTTTGTGCGACTTCTAATGAGTGTTCGAAATCGAACAGAACTGGTTGTTTATCTTACTGATTTCATTGTCTTCAAGTTTGCAGAGGTCCGCTGTATCACGACCGTCTTGTTTCTTCGACTTGTCATAGCATAAGTATTGAATTTTTCTGCGGCGCTGAACCTGCTTCACTTCTTCCGAATAACGCCAATGTCATGCTTTGTCCAGTGCAAAAACTTGCTATGAACGAACTTTCTCTTTTCTGACAGAAATGTTAGCAAAGAGATCTAATTAAAGCATGCATAAGCAGTAGGTGATGATTTTAGATTTATGAAATGTTAGGCTAGACTTAGCAACTTTTGTAGTATCGTGTTTTGTTCCATCATGCTCCAATGTTAATAATTTTCCCAAGTGCTGGTTCTTTTCATGTTTGACATTTGAGGTCCAAAGTCATGGCGCGGTTACATATGCTACTTTTTGAAAAGAGTCAAGCGAAATCTGTTTTCGTTTTGATTGAACACTTCGATACCTTCCGGCGCCTGCGTAAGACCATCGAGGCATATCATTCACTTTGATGTTCCTAAATGAAGATCCGACCACATCATGCAGATATGAAGTATGAGCGGCGAAAAGGGATATCCACGTATCACTCAGTTATCTTAGTTACACGGAGTGTTTTGCGTCACTCATTTCATTCGCTGCTAGAAGAGGTTTAGGTCAGGGATTACCACTAGGTCTTAGTATATATTGCCACCCTTTTTCCCTTTTGAAAATAGGTGAAGTATTTGGTTGGCACCCACGTTTTGCAACTCAGTCTTGTAACTTTTGTCTTTTCAAACGTGGAGCTTTCTTTGTGAGAACGAATGTAGCCATCTCTGCCGAATTCATCATTGCATTTGAGAGTTACGGTAAGGCATTTTTTGAATGTTAAAGAAAAAGGAATTGTCATAGAATGCGATGAATCTTGGTCTAGGGGGTTATACGACATCCTGATTACGAAGATGATTTCCATTTCGCGTGAAAGGCTTATTGCATGTCAGATTACCCATTGTACAAAATTCCCCTAAAATCTGACGTTTTCGACTCTTTGGCATTGATGGATCTCTTAGATGGCTTTGACGCGTTCGACTCGTTCGTGTTTACGAGATCGCCAGATTTCGATTTGGTTTAAACTCACAATTTTTCTTCGTTAAGTCAGTAGCCAACACTTAGGACATACTGTCCACGTTCCGGCTAAATTTCTTCAATTCCTTTTCTGCACGTCTTGCTTTTTGTTGAAAACCGTAAAATCTCGATTGTGACCGCTTTTACGAAAATGCGTAGATTTTTTTCCTTTTTTTTTCATAAATTGTTTAACAGTTTGCGCAGATTTATAGCCCAGTTCCAAGTCTATATAGCGCCAAATTTTGAATGCATCTCATCCAAAGAGAAAGATGTTATGACCAAAGTTGCAAAACTTACGTGCCATCCTAATAATAATGGATTCAATGGGACTTCCCCTCTCATTGTTGTGATATTGCGACTTCGCTATATACCTGGTACGTGGTCCAAAAATTTTTGGCGCAACACATTAAATCAAAACTCCCATTTTTTTAGTCATTGAAAGTCTAACTTTCTTGCATGCTGTGCTTTGCTTGCCGATCTCTAAGATCTCCAGCGGAGAACAATAAACTGTACCCAATAAGGAAAGATTGGTTATACTGGTGTTTATTACATCCAAAGCTATTCTTTGTGTTTGCGACACAAAGTTGTATATTTTGTAGTCATCTTCACTCACAATTTTCAAAACTTGCACATTTTCATTACAGTTTTGCTTGGAAACCTTGCTTAAGGTCTCGCTACAAATGTAACAGATTGTTATCTTTCCAGAGTAAATAATGTAAAGTTAGAGAAAAAATGTGGTTGTATTTGTACAGTACATAATCATGTGCCTAGGAAGGACTAGCGGTTAGTTACATTTGAGTTACAGGTATGATTGAATTTACCAGTTTTTACTGCATCGTTTTTCTGTTTTTTCTTTGTTTGCAAAGGCATCGGTGTCCCGATTAATATGTAAAATCACGGAAATTCGCTGAGCATTCCGACTATCAAGTTTACGTTAGTTCATCTGGTATTTTCTTCAACTTCGGAAATAGTGCGCAGTTTTTGGGATTTGACAAGGCTGTACTGATAATAAAGGATAAAGGATTCGGCGTCTTCAATACCCTCTGAGGCATGCGCCGAACGCACACACTAACTTCATAGTCGAAGATATACCAGTACTGATAATATCGCGGAATATGCAGCAAAACATGTGTAGACCAAACCCTGTATCAAATTTTGCTAGATTTGTATTAGCTTTACAATAATGCAGGACGCTCATAGTGACGGTTTTGTGGAATGTGTGCACAAAGGTAATTTATATGCATGGCAAGATATGAGGAACATTTCAACTTTTTTGTGTCGTATTTTTGTTTCGTTTGAACATTTTGCTGTCACATAATGTCGCCATTACATGTGTTCCTTCAGATGGGCGGCGGCCCTCTCTGTTGCTGTTGTTTCGCGAACAATGTACGGCACCTGGTGCTATTACTCACTTCGATTTGCATATCTGTACTATTCATGAACCTCATCCTCTTCAATTTCACTGCCATATTGGATGCCGACCTGCCATCGGGGCTACAACCCGTCCCATCTCTTGACAGCCTGCATGCGTACACCATTTGGCATGGTGGGGAATGAGCATTTCATTCTAGTACGAAGAAGATTCAAATGTTGTTACAGATCGCCTCAAAAGGGCGATTAATGGCACAAACGAGGGACTGAATTCTCCATTGTCCAAAAGAGATGACGGAGGTATGCGTGTGTTTCATTCAGGTTATTAGTGATTACTGTACAACACCCACCTTGTGTCTTTCTCCATATACAGTTCATCAGTTCCTTCTCTGATCTCTCTCTCTTCTTTCTTGAGGTAATAAGTTTGGTTCTACTGCACTGTATGCCATATGCTGTCATATGAAGCGCATCGTATGATGTGGCGTTTTCTTCCCAAATGGCTTCAGAAATAGAATATCGCTGCAACGTAGCTGCGCTAAGTTTGCTCTTATTTCGGGGAGCATGAGTATGAGATATCACAAAGGGAGCATGGGTATGAGATATAAGGCAATAGCTTGGCAAGATGGAACCTAGTCAGATCGCTTGGCAAGATGGATCCTAGTCAGATCTTGGCGGTGATAGATAGTAGCTCACCAAGTAGTCCCAACCCCACCCTTCACTTCATGCGCTAAGTCGTAAAAACCCGCTTCAAAAGCCCATCAGTTCCCCCCGCTTCCGTTGAGTGGACGCCGAGTTGAGGATTTGAATGCGTACGACCCAACGCATGATTTCGAGGGTGGATTTGGGGCTACAATGTACTTGGTGGGGGGGGGGGGGGGGGGATCTACATCTGCTCCTAGCGCACTGAGATCTGTCAACCGCCCATTTTGAAATTATGGCGTGCCATTATTGAAGTTGCTTTGCGGTTCCATGCTTGTGCATGAGATATCGAACCGGGCAGTGATTGCTTAGACCTTTTTATCAAGTTCAGGGTATGAATTTTTTGGCTCAGGATACTTATCATAGTTGCTCGAAACTGGTTCCCGGATATGATCGGGATACTAGTAGTAATGTCGCTGCACTTACTTTGTTTGCAACCGCTTTTGCTGATTTAGGTCGCTGCACGGCCCTCCGGCGGTGAGTATATCCCAAATTGACCCGATTTTTTTACTCAAAGAAGTATGTGGTACAAAGTCATCATAAAATCGTGCTGCGCAGATCACTCTCATGGTTTGAAAATATGATGAGAATTCGCATTTTGAAGCTCAAAAGGGGTGTGTGCCCTTCTGAACCGCTCCGTCCTAGCGCTAATTAGTCTGCCCGGGCAACGCTAGTTAATTCGCCTTTCTTATAATCTAGGAGAGTTTTTAAATATTTCTGGGCATTCCAAAGCAAGTGAGGCACACGATAATGATAGTGAGGATTTACGAATTATGAAGACAAAAAAATGGAAAGGTTGCATGTTTCTAAGGCCATTTCGTGATTTCTTTGCCCTTCCTAGTTTTCAAAACACCATGAAGTCTGAACGTGTAAGCTGAAGAATTTACCTAAGCCCTGGGAATCGAAATCTTGTTTGATTCTTTTTATCATGAGAATGCCTTTGTAGTCCAATTCAGACGTCTCCAACGACAACATAGCTCTCGCTCACCCAAGCGGCGGCAGCACCGACCAATCAGAGGCGCGCAGTAATTAGGCGCGAATGTTAGCGGTTCAGAAGGGCCGTCTCCCAGAATATCAAGTATTTCTCTAGATCTATAACATGTGCTTGTACACATTCAACTCACCTCACGAAAGCAAATGAACATTTATAGTTTGATAATTTCTTGTAGCTTGTAACACTCACCAATTTAGATGAGCGTCCGGTTCTTCCGAGCACTGCTTCACCCGCACCTTCCTTTGCACCGTCAACGGCAGCCACTACCAAAAAGACTGAAAAGCCGAAACCTGTGTTTTTCACAAACTTTCCCTCCGATGCGACCACTACAAAATCCCCCTTGAATGAGAAGCCTCCTCTTGCATCAGATCCGAGGGATGTTGTTAGGAATGGTTTGTTTTTCCCCTCTATTAGGTTGTCACGAAAGTTTTGTTCGTTTTTTCAAGCCACTATAGAACCAACCTCAATAAAGACCTGATTGAGTTCCAAAATGAATTCGATGCAGCTTTTCCTTCTTTTTCTTATGGATACATTCTAAATACAATCTTGTATGCTTTTTTGATAACTGCCAAAATTCTCTACCGTCAATTTTATCTCTAAGCTAATTTCTCAAAACTCCATTCCAATGTTTCGGAAAGGGATAAGCATGGATCAAATAGAGCAATTCTTGGAGTACGAGGTAACGTTTTTAGATTCTCCTAATCTGCGGTTTTTGGCTTCAAAAGATGATTTCTTCGGAGGTCTTGTTTTTTGGCAAAATCAAGTTCAGCACGCAACTGCAGCAAATACACGAAAGCTTCTGAAGTTTGTGCATGTTGAAACATGATTCTTATTAAACATCATTCATGCAACTAACCAAGTTTGATCTGTATTGAGAAAGCAGCTTTTGGAATTTTCGGTATTTTTATGTGGTAAACATAATCAATAAACCGCGGTTTTTATTAAATGAGTAACTATAACGGATTTGGCAAAAGTGGCTCAGTAATCGGAAAAGTGCCCAATGTAGCCAAAGGTTTGCTCTACATAACAGTTACCATCATTTTTTGAAAACATCAGGATACAAATTTTTTAATTTCAAGAAAAATTTAGCGTTACTGCTGAGCTGCTCAAAAAGCCATGGCGATAATATTGCAAAGACAGAGTAGATCAGAGAGCAAATATAGCTGTAAGAAAGAGGATAAGATCTGAATCAAATGGTACCTAAGTCGTTCATGGATTGGGGTCCTTTGAGTTTTAGTGAGCGATGAAAAAACGAACAAAACTTTTGGGACAACCCTCATATTTTACAGTATAATTAGTGTAAAATTACACGCTAGTATGAAGTGAGGAGGCCATAAAGGTTTCTGAAGCATGCAGTCATGGCCGGTAAATGTGCAGTTGCTTATCATATGCACCATTTACTATCTGGAAAATCAGGGAACTGCTGTCATCATGTTTGATGAGAAACACTATTTCGATGTATTCAGAAGTCCAGCGGGCCATTGATAGGCTTGAAGGTCGTGGTGAAGATGTGAAGTCTACTCCATATGTGCCCGGAAAGGTGGACAAAGAATATATGTGGGTTTAGTTTTTGTGGACGATTGGAATGGACTCTGAGACGTAAGATTTAGGGAGCCCAAGGTGTCGACTGGCAGTGAGATAAAGAGATATTTTTTGTACGCTGCTCCTGGATTTGGTAATATTCCCTATCTCACTGCGTTCATGTCTTTCCATCCGTATTACAGGGTGCCTTCTTGGGTTGGCTCCTGCAATTCTTCTGCTAAAACGCTGCGGTGTCCGTGTCACACTATCCGTGACATTGGCCATGTGCGGCATACTAACAGCCATAGTTCCAATTCTGTCGCAGTTCGGTGAGCTGTCGAAAAAAACATTCAGGATTTCGCAACCTCATTCTTCATGACTCGTCGTTTACAGGTTTTTCTGCGCTATTTCCTCTCAGATTATTCATGGGTATGTGCTTCGCACCATGTCTCCCCGTTTTGGGTGCTGTTTGTGCAAACTGGGGATGCTTGAATGAACAGCTGTTGTTTATCGCTACTGCTTTCGGCTTTATTCAGGTAAACGACTAACACACAATGACGTTACGACGTGAGAAGAGCCTCATACCTAAGTGATAAAATTTTCTCTAGCTGTTCTTGCTTTCCAGGCGTGGGAAAAGAAAATCACGTTCATTTATTCAAATCACAAAGCCACATTTAGTGCTGATGGGATGAGAAATCCTACATTTTTAATTTCCCTTCTATGGTAGATTCCACTCGCTGCAAGTTCACCAATACTCATTTTGTCGAATGAAGACGTATTGATTTTGAAACTCGAACCCATTCACTTGCAATGTCCGAAATGAGAGGCAAGGAAGAGCAAACTGAGGGGCTGTAAGCCCCTCCTCAGCCACGACCACGCTTTTCTCCTGTTTTCATTAGAATGTTACGTTGTTTTTTTTTTTTTCGAAAAGAGTGTTGCCGATGATGAGGGTTCCTGGGCTGATTTCTTCCAAATCGGCATTTCTAGATATTCTATGCATTTTACTAATCTTCGTGCACATTATCACGTAAAATGCAAATTAGCTCTATGGTTTGCAGACAGGCATTGCTGTAGGATAGCTGGAACCCCCCCCCCCACTTTTCTCCATTTGAAGCGCACTTTTAGTTGCGTTCGTTTAGGCATTGGGTCAAGGTAGCCACTGTATCTTCTGCTCTTTCAGAAAGGGTCTGTGTTAAAAATAGAGTTTAGAAGGTTCAAATTCTCTCCAATTTAGTTGTGTCGAAAGCAATACGTGCTGATGACTTAAGTTCGTTTTGTCTCGTTCAAAACAATCTTGCAAGTTCTAGCTATTGGATCTAAAATATAAACTATGCACGTAAGAGTGATGTGAAATGTCTGATACAACAAAAAATCATCGGTCATCTGTCTCTGGATTTGCTTCTACCTGATTTTCATTTTATGGGGGGATTCACTGTTGTTTCCAGCTTCTTGTGCTTAGCTGTTTTGGACCGCTGCCTCTGTTAGTAAGGGCCTAATCTGAAGATAATGTGACCCATAAATATAGCAAGCGGTTGCAGTAGTGTGAAACTCTTCAATTTTTAGGACTACTTGCTTAAGGATTGTTGGTAGATATTTATTTTAGATTGCCCCGTTGTTATCATGGCCTCTAACAATGGTAGTGTTTTCGAACGAAGTTCCGCTTACCGCAATCTATGCAGTTCATGGTGGTATCACGCTGTTACTTTCAATAATGTAAGTTATCTATTGCCATAGTGTGTTGTCTTTTTTCTGCTAAATCTTCTTTTTGTAAATTTTTTTGCGATGAAGTTACTGCACCCTTTTTCAACTACATTGCCTATCTAATTATTTTGTTCATTTGTATTTTCAATTTCTTTGCAGTTTCGCTGCATTTTATCGCGATCGGCCACAGCATCATCCTTGGGTGAATGGACTTGAACTGAATAAAATTGTTGCTGGAAAAGTGCAGGTAGAATTAAGCACTTTGTGGAATTTATGACATTTGTAATTGGTGCGCTGGTTTTGCAAATAGTTTATCTACGATTGGCAATATTAACCCATTGACGACGATGTGGACCACCGGTGGCCTACGCGCTTTTTGCTGCCAGGGACGATGTGGACCCCCGGTGGCCCACACCTCTCGCAAAGTCGTATTATTTGCAGGTCTAGTATTTTTTCCACATATGAATATTTTTTCCAATTTTTTGTATTCTTCGGACCTATAGGCTCTGTCGTTCAAACAAATGTTAATAGTTGTTCACATAACAATGTTGCATTTCGTAAATAAGCACGAAACCTTCCTACACTGAAAGTGTTGTGCAAAATCGCGTCGTCCCACAGCGCCGCCGCGCAAAATTAAGCGTCGGTCAATGGGTTAACGAACATGACTATCACTAGAAAGTGCAGGTGGAATTGAAAATGTCTTGTGCAACATTTTTTGTCCGTTTGAGATGACTTTTGCTTCTCATAGGTTACTTGTTTCAAAGGTCTTTAGTTCTTGATTTGGCACATCTTGGCTTAACCTTTCTGCGCTTTTCCTCTAAGCACTTTTTATTGGAAGGAAAGAGAGTAAGCTCCCCATTAGAGATGGCATGGGGAAGATATCCAAAACAATGCAATGTTTCTTCGTTTAAGCTGATAGTGCGCTTACTTTACGTTCCGGAATACATGCTTTCGATGGTGACAGCCTGTAATTTTGGTTTAGGCCAAATTTATCGTTTTCATCGAAGTGCCCAGCTGGTTTCTTTCTTTCAAAAAAAATGTAGCACCTCAAAATGTTACATGAAACATTTTCTCTTCGGTACTTATTCTGCTTCTGTCTGTACGGAGGAGTATTTTGTCAGAAAAATGTGATAAAGTAGTACTGACGCTCTTATCAAGTTTGATATGTGTAAAATGAAGCAAACTTGTCCGTGAAATGAGTATTTGATAAACTGAAATTTTTGGTAAAAGTTTGTACTCCATGTACTCTCATCACTATTGTATCATTACTATAACTTGCGTCTAATTTGCGCTGATTAAAAAACATCAGATGTTCTTTCAGAATGCCAGCTAGTCACATCCTTACACTATCTCTTATTCAATGAAGTTCAGGAGCTGAAGAGCAATCGAGCCCAGTCAGGAGCGTTTCCCATCTTGCTGCGTTCTGTAGCAGCATGGTCACTTTGGATTGCTGCGTTTGGGGCGTTCTTTGCTATCGCTCTGGTCGTTACATATATGCCATCGATTCTGTCCTGTCAGGAAATATTTTTGGTTGATTATCTCGGAGTCTATTCGGCGCTTCCCTTCATATTGGTGGTAAGTTCACTTGAAATCTCACGAAAGCTCAATGTTAAAACCCCTAACTTAGAACTTCACTTTCCGTAAACGCTAAGATCTCCCCTATGTTCAACACATAGCTCTCTATACGAGTACTCGTAGTATGGCACTCGGATTGAAATACTAAAAACACGAGGTAGTTTTAAAATGGTGAAAAGTGACCTTCCCCTCTGTTCTAACTCTTCCCACGTGTCCAAATACATGCTACATGCATACAAGAGAACGAGCGTCTATTTTCACTTTTGTACATGCTGTAAATCCTGAGAGAATAACAGTCCTAGCGTGAAGACGTAACGGCTTATTTTTATGGTGGCACTTCATGCTTATATGATGCAATTGAAATAAATGAAAACTTCTTATCAAGCTAAATGAGCAGATCACTAATGTTTTGTCATTTCTTTCTGCCAAAGTTGTGAACAAGCTTAATTTTATCTAAGAGCGCAGGAAATCGTGGCAAAGCACTGGAAGGCTTCTAGGGCATTTCGCTGGTGGTAGCTATGTTAAAGGCAGCGTCCAGGCAAGGCTGGACACATGGGGACCTCACGTGGTTAGTAATTTTGGGGCCCTAACTAAGCCACTGTGTAACCGGCAGCTCAAGTAGTGCTCTAACGGCTGAGATATTCCCCTCGAAACTGGACCCAGCGATCGTATTTCGCATGAGATCATGGCGCAAAGCGTGGATCCTGGCGCGAAACTGCCATTCCATGCGAATACGATCGCGGGGTCCAGTCTGGAGGGGAATATCTCAGCTGTTAGAGCACTACCTACGCTGCCGCTTGGGCAGTGCCTTAGTTAGGACCACAAAAGTACTTTTCACGTGAAATTCCACAGGTCCAGATCTGCCTGGACGCTGCCTTTAAAGGCACCGTCCACCGAAACTAAGTTTGATGGGACTTTGACTTCATATAGTAGCGGTGACTAATTAATTAGCCGCCCAAGTCTTGCTGCAAAAGGTTGATTGCGAAGCGATAAAAATGCTCCAGAAGGTGCTCCAGAATGCTCCAGACCCAGCTGCTCCGCCCATCTGACGTGGGTGGTCTGAAGATAAAGAGTCCAGAAAAGGTTCAATATCTAGTGTTGTCATGAATCCGCCCTTTACTGGGAATTCAGATTTTCGTCATATCTCTCTACTCTGAAGCCTGCTCTTAAACTTCAGACCACCCACGTTGATGAGCGGAGCCACATAAATCGCTTCTACGTTTTCGAGCGATTGTCAAATTCGTGTGTTGCAGTGGGAGTTGGGCATTACCTAGTTAGGGGTTGCGCTGTTACAAAACTTTAGACTCTCGTTAACCTCAGTTTGGGTGGATGGTGCTCCGACACGTGTTGCTTCAATACGAAGTTGTGCTGGTTTCTGATGTCATTTTTATCGGCCTTAATCGTGTAGCGTTTAATCACAGCAAGTGTTTTTGTTCTGAGGGTTGTTTCTTACTGCCGCTGACCGCAGCGGCCGTAGCATGTTCACGCAAAAAGAAAGAACAACCTCTATTACGACCGAAACACCTCGAATGACGCCTAGGAAGGTCCTAAGTTCTGATTTCACTCTTTTCAGTCAAAATTTTCTTTCTTTTTGCGTGAGCATGCTGCGATCAGTTCGGTAAGATGAACTCGGCTGCATTCAGTGCGGTAGTATGAAACAACCCTAAAAGACTTACAGTTGTACCAGCTCGTCTTCACTCATTTGAAGCGATTTCACATGATTCTAAGCACTCTCGAATGAAGTTCTTTTAGCCGCTCGTCCTGCTTGGTGCTGGACTTATCAATAGATGGTCATGTTGTTCGACTACTATTCATGTGCGAGTGTGGAACACCGTATGGACTGCGCTTATTGTCCTTGTATTCATCTCGCTTCCCATCATTTTTTACCTCGAGGAATCTGCAATGTTAGCTGGAAATGCTACGGTCAGGCTTCGCTATGATATCCATTACAGATCATTACGTTTTCTTCCATTCGTGCTTGCTCCCTTGGGACTTTGTATTTGTGGAGTCATGCGCAGTCTTTGCCTCGTTGGAAGAGCATTTACGCAACATATCATCGCCTATATGGGTGCTAGCGTTGGTGTTGCTTTCATCATCGCTCCATTGGTCATCTTCACCTATCTGAATGCTAAGTGAGCCATGTTATAATTTGCATTCTCAACTAAGCTTTTTTTGTCGCTTGGTTTATGTCCTTTGGCTGAATGGACCCTTTAGCTCTCTCGCGGAATGGACGAAAGTGTTCTTGACTTCAGCCGCCATTGTCGCCATCTCATCAATTGTTTTCGCTATCTTTGGAAGAGGTGGGCTCACTTTTTCGTCCCCTAAAGTGTAACATCATGATTTCCACAGGTGATAGCTTCTTTACAGGACGTGCTTCGAACTGGGCCGCTTCTTCATGGGATCCACTCATCTCGACGAAGATGAGGAATCTTCAGCCTATCGATTTCAGCCAGGATGAATGTGGATTGTATGAGCTGCGTCTCATCGACCCGAACAAAAAATAGACGTTGTCGAATATTTCACTGCAATGCATATTCACTTACCTATGATAAGATGCTCATCGGTTTTCTCAATTTTTTTTCTCTAATGTGCTCTCCTTATATACCCTTTCCGTGAACTATTGATTTGTGGAAGATTTTCTTTGTCGAATGCTAATTGAGAGCTTCCGCCATTTGTGCCTTTTGTTTTGCCTTGACGCTTTTGTCATCGGGTTGTGTTTTTTCTTTGCGCCTTTTGAGGAGCCCTACGCACTCTTGTATAGTTCCAAAAACTTATTGCCCGTTAACTTTCGTGGAAAGCCTAGGGTATATCTCTAGCAGGTGATCGTATCTGCCCATTTCATATCTGTTTCCATAGCTTCATTAATTTGCCATCGTTCAGCTTGAAACTCATGTTTAAAACCTGAAGTTAAGATGTAATAAAAGCTTGCAGATTCTCCACTTTATTGACCACGTGCGCGTCTAGTGCACTGTTATTACCGGTATTTGACATATGCTGAAATGGAGATTTAGGAGTGATAAGAGACATGAGACATACATAGATCACAAGCACAATAGGCAGTGAGGATCAAGTTAACTAGGAAGAAAGAAAGGAGGAGGAAATGGTAAAAGAATAATAAATGGTAAGAAATCAGAATAATTATTTTCTTGGTGATGCAAGTTTGTCCATAGCAGATCTCCTGGAAGGAGAAGTTGCATTTGAGCAGTAGGAAGTCTGTTTATGGTGAATTCTTACCTTCCGCTTGTTCCACTTTTCCTAACGGGAGTATCTCGTCGCAGTTTTGTTTGCACATGACCGATCTTCTCAGCAAAACTGATACTGCTGGCGCTTTCATTACAGTGTGCTGCGTCCGGTGAGAGATGCACAATGACCAGAGTCTTACTGTCACCATCTGTAAACGTTGCGTTGTACTAGGAAAATGTTAACTATTTTCTGTAATCCTATTTATCAGCATAGCGCGAAATTGTCGATTGCAAACTCACATCTCTTCGTTCTCAATCTAGTCTACAATTTACCCTTTTAAAAGAAATTGCACTTTGCAGTGGTAGCGTTTCTGAGAATCGTTCAAAGAGCAGGGTTCCCTCACGTACTTCGGATTTTACAGCTTTGTGTTTGGTTCAGTGAGTGTGGGGTGCCGCTGACTATGTATGTCTAAAACATTCGGAAAACTCTGCGACCTAGCAGTGGGCAAAAAATCAATGTAACAGGTACAAATAGCAAGTGAAGCACATAAGCTCTGTTAGAATTGAAAATTATGGAACTAACAGTTTACCAGAACGCGCTTTTGCGAAATCAGTGCTTGCATCCGAAAAGAACTGCAGCGGAATGAAGCTTGCACAAATGGTATGCAATAGTTTTCACAGAGTTTTCACGTTGTCATAGTTAGGCATTCCAAAAAATTCTAGAACTAATTCAACCTTGCAAATTTGAAGTGCCGTTGTTGGAAGTGGTTGTGTTTTATTCTGTACAAAGTAACAATCAGAAACCATGTAGAGCTCAGACTGCCCTCTTTTCACGTATAAGATATCAGCACTGGAGTTTCGTGTCAACTCATTATCAATTGGTACAAATCAATGTTAGTACGGATTTTTTCAAGGTTAATTAAGGTGGATTGGCAGTCCTGTAAGAAAATGAAGATGACAACATCCTGGGGGTCAGATTACTAGAGCTTTTCCATTGATTATCTTCCTCCAAACTATTGGGTTGGCTAATAAAGAAGTCCGCTTAACATGCAACTTCGAAATTCCATAACAATTCAAATAGCAGCTACTTTAACTGATATTTTTTTGCCAGAACGTAGCTATAAGCCTCTACATTCAAATATCAAGGTCAAAATTTTTGTCACCAAAAAGTGACAGTTATGCCCCTATACAGTCAGACTTCTGAAAAATCGCTTTTTGACTTTCTAAGTTTCGTTCTCAGCCTATAGTGAGTGCACAGACGACTTATATGGTGGTTAAATATAAACAACCTTTGGTTATATGGCGAACTACAGTGGAGATTGCGATCTGCTGTTTGTGACTCTCTGCAGCCAAAAATGTGAGAATTTCCGGACATTTGCGAGCGGGAGTCAGTTTTCGGGCAATTAAGATCGCTTGAATTCGACTATCTAGGGTAGTGCAAATTGTTGGAAATTTCAGAATGTGTTGTGTGAATGCCAACTGTGCATTTTACATCCAATTTCAGCTCGTTTTTCGTAGCATGATTTTTCGAATATTTGATGAAAAAATCTGACTATTCCACTTTCCTGCACGATTTCGCTGTCAGAATGATGATCAGTGCTCAAATAGAGTGGACCCTACGATTTTTCTAGATTTGCTCTCAATGGTACCATACATTCTTACGTAAATCAACTTGTAAACTTCCTGTAAACCGTTAGAAACGACCGAACTTATTTTCTAGCCAACTTATTATGCACAAATTTGTCATCAAGGAATTCAAATAGCATAAAGTTGTGCAAGGGATTCTTTTGCTGACTCGACCAGTTTATTTTACATCTCTGTAAAAACTCACTTAAGCTATCCTCTAAGATACGCGTAAGCTGGCAGTTTCGGAATGGGATATGTTTCTGATTCTGCCTCAATGCGAGCACAACATTGCCGAGTTCAGATAATGATCTGAAAGAGAATTCTTTGTTTTTGGATAAGTTTAGAGATGTCAGGTACTTGTTGATGGCCTGTGCTTCCTTTAGAAGTAGCCCAGTGGCGTTAGTTTGCGATACTCGTTCAGAACCGGCCAAGTCGACAAGATTTAGGCGTCCTATATTCATCGGTTACGTCTGTGAAGATGATAAAATGTGGAGGGAAACGTACCGACGGACGTAGTACCAGTAATTCTATTCTTAGCTGTCAGAATGACACGAACGATTACATGAGATCGGCTAGAACAGACATTGGCTTCTGTTGCCGCGACCGCCTAGAAAATGTTGTTTCACATCGAACCCCCTTAAAAGGTCTGCTTTCACCTTGTTCTTCTTCCCCTCCGCTAGGACCTCTACGACATGGTCAACCGATTTGACACAAACTTCTCGCAAACCAGGAATGGACAGATGACCGTCTTCGCCTAATCTGATTGCCAGCTGTGTGCTTGACGTTCCCAGAAGATCTCTGGAGATTGATCAAATGAGAGTTACACACGCGCTTTATAGTCTTACTTTATCTTCTCATTGTAAATTTCCATCATAGAGATTTTGATTTCGTACTCCATGTCCGTATTTCTTCCGTCAGCAGCTTCAAAAAGCTGCATGATAGCGCGCTGGTTGATTCCTGGATCGTCCTCGGGGCCCTGAAGTGACGTTTTGGAGTCCGTCCGTCATCAAAATTTTCCAGATAACTAATCGAAGTTCAGTCGCAAAGTCTTTATACTCCCGCTTAGGCTTTCCTTGCAGGTTTTCAATAAAATTAAAGCGATTTGATCTACAATGGGAACAACTCTTCGTATGCAAAACTCAAAAAACTAGTGGAAAAAATTATCGTTTTAAGGTCTGTTTTATCTTTACTGCTTATCACTTTCCAGTGAGGACCCAAAAATTTCTTTTCGGTTTCGGTTGCGTTCAAAGTTTTTAGCACAAGGCAGTTTGAATTTTCAAAATCTTCGAAAATACAATTATTTACTAGTAAAAACAAACTGCTTGCAGTTTTATGATCTATGTGGGCCACTCAAAAATTCGCTAGTCATTTTCGCAAAGATGGGGGTGGGGCGGATGGTTGCATTTCAATCCTAGCTTTAAGGACAAGCTTTAAGGACATTAAGCTTCTTCGTTTCGCATATTGCGTGAGTGGATACGCTCAGGAGATCTTGATGTTTTGTTTATTTATCGGAGAAGCTGCATAGCTAGAGGCAAACGCTTGGTGTCCAAACAACTATTCAGTAGCACACGCATTTATGCGCAGGTCCCATGCAGATGTCAAGCAGTAAACTCAATCATTGCAAGAACGAGTCATTCTCAATGGTTTTTCATTCATCAAGCTTTCTTTTTTATGCGTGTTATCAAAAAAGCAATATTTGTAAGAAATGGAACACGCAGCGGGGACTTCGAACAAGCTACTCGTGTTTGTTCTATGAATTTATTTTATCAAAGAAATTACGATCTGCTCAGAAAAAGTGACTATCTCCTACCTCCATAGTATAAGTCTTGCCACTTCCAGTATGACCATAAGCGAAGAGGCAGACATTATATCCGTCTATACAGCTTGTGATAATCGGAGACACTTTCTCGAATATCTGTGTGACTTCTTTTTCATCGGAGAGTCATAGGCGGCCATAAAATGGAGGTGCGCACCTGCTCTTGCGTGTAATTCATTGGAATCACAAAGTCGGCTCCTTCGCTGGTCTTTTTTCCACTTGGATGCGCCAGATGAACTATGCCATTGTCCATTTCGTCTATCACCACAGCTGGATTTTCCTTCACATCCCCTAACTGTGGTCGGATTCGGTAGAACACCCGTATGTTGCCTAGAACCCAGAATACAAATTACTGTTTACCCATAGCACCTCTATTATTTGATTTGCTTAATTTTTCACTGAAGCTGTCATCAGCTGGCAACATGACGACAGCGTGAGAGTGTGTGTAAATAGAAAGGTAACATGAGAAAAGTAAAACAGCGCCGTGGAACCGGAACAGTGACAGCTTGACAGCTACAGAAAAGTCTGCAACGGAACAACAAAAAGCTTACCGTTGATTTCCACCAGCTGGTTGTGAAGTTGTTTTCGTTTCTGCATCTCAGAACAATAGCGACCGATTAAAACACGGAAAAAGTCGGCAGTCTTTGATTCGAGCATCATTCGCACCTGTAAAAAAGGCGATCAAAACCCTGAAAATTGGATCTCCTCCCAAAGATACCTACGGACTTCCAACTTAGTGGACACATAGTGGTATTGATAAATGTGCATGTGCTATTTTTTCCGCGGCCCATTGAGCAACAAAAATAATACGAACGCAAAATGTCACTTTTTGGGTCTTTTATATTAATTTGGTCAGAGGTATAATTTTGAGATTATGCCCACTAACAATAAGGCTGGAGTATACATACAATCACATGCGCGAGAGGAGCTGCGGGCGGAGTTTGCCATTGTTGCATCTACTTTTTTCTCAATTTTTTCAAATTCAATGGCTCGAAAAAATTGTGCCGATGTATTTGAAAATATTACTATTTAACTGCTGTATGATGACCACTTTGGAGCTTCATAGCATTTTTTCGGCGGAAATTTTAATTTCGGTGATATTTTTTTGACTTCAATCTCTACTTTGCGACATAGGTGAATCTCTTGTGGTCACCTTTAGAGCTTCCTTTGCTCTATCGAATAGTGCCTGATTGTGGAGAACAATCAAATATGTTATTCCATTTTCGGCCCATTTGAGAAACGATTAAAAATTATGTATGGTTGCTAAGAGAATTAGTTCCAAAATTTACGTTTTTATAAGTCCTCCGATTTTTGAAATCCATTTTCAAATAAAAAAGCAGTTTCTGGTAAAACTTAAGTTTGCACAAGGTTACCTGTGGAGAGTGAGAAAATGAATGGACAGCTTCTCAAACTTGTTTTTGTTGTTTGTTGTATCTGAACATTACAGCGAAAGGGAACTGTTCGGACAGGTTGTGTAGAATCAATCTCATGATTATAGCTTGTTGTTCAAAGAATTAACTTATAACGGCTGCAGATGGTCAATTTAGGTAATGTGACTCAGTGCTGTAACTGTAAAATTTCAATCTGAAGCAAAATGCCTGAGAAAACCGAAAACCCTTTCGCTGATTTCCTTACATTTCCGATTTCTTGTATTGCTATGGCTTTGAGGTGTAGCCAATGCTTAGATCTGCAATTAACTCTTTTCCTCACCCCCCCCCCCCTTTTAAGTGAGAAGCACGAGAGTCTACTAACAACTTGTAAGATGGTTGTCTCACCTCTCCCATGCATACTGAAAAAGCTTCTTTGGTATCCATAGCCAGTCGTCTCAGCTCATCCTGTAATGATTCATAACAGCAGCCGAATGGCAACGCCTCTCTTTTTACCGATCTTTTTGTTGAGAGATTCAAACACAAAGACATGCCATAGCAACGCACAAACCTTTTCCCTTTTAAGGTCGTCTGACAGCCTTTTCAGCTTTTTCAAGTTGCTGTCGTCTTTCATGCTTCTCGCCAACTCGCCATAATTAACGTCACCTATCGGTCGAGGACTAAAAATCAGCATTTGGGGACAATAAGTTTGTACCCTAGCGAGCTACCTGATTCTAAATCGATCCTCACTCGACGGAATGTCACTTTCATAGTCTTCATCGTCCTCAGTCAGTTGCGATAAGCGAATATTTTTGTGTGCCTCGGTCAGTGCCACTTTCAATTTCATGTTCTCCTCACGTAATGCGCCAAAATCCAATGAGAGCACTGAAATCCCTTTGAGAATTTTCGAGCTCGGGATATACGAAGTGGCCCGACCTGAAATCGCCCCTGCGTTGGCACAGCAGTTTTTGCTGGGTTACGGTGAGGTGTGGTGGGTGAGCTAGCGGGAGAGAACGTGCAACAGACCGGCCATGCACTAGAGCCTGGGTCCTCCCGAAAGGGGTTGTGGAAAAGGAAGGCAGTATGCTCTCTAGTGTGGTGTGGAGATGGTTAGGAGAGTTTTCATTCAAATAATAAACTTTATGGAGTAGAGAGTTTTCTATTCCTAGAATCTGTAATTCAAGAATTGCAATTCATAAATCCATCCCAGACTAAACCCTTTTCTAGCATCAATCAGCATCCTCGAGTGCGGCAGAATGTACTGTCTGGGTTGGAGTTTCAAATTGAATGTTTCAGTCGTAATAAATAAAAACCGCTGCTTGGACCAAAGTTTTGCCAACATCTCCTCATCAGTCTCCCGTTGAAAAATTGGGCACCTTGATTCTGGACGCTCAAAATACAATATGATTTATCTGTTAAAACCGTACTATTTGCTTGTTTCGGATTTCTGCATTGCATTTGGATTAACTTGAAACGTTAACGTGGGCGTTCAAGTCCTTGTTTTCCTATTTCAAATTTCATTTTTTTCATTTTTCCAAAATTGTGGATACCAGCAAATGATCAAGTCAATAGCTTGAACTATGCTTATTGCACATCATGCGCTCTATTTGACGACTTGTAAGGTTAAAAACTGCTTATTTCTAGTGATTTTTTTGTTTCCTTGTCTCTTTTAATTTGATTGGATATGTATCGGTTAGTACTAAACAATTGTACAGTTTCTTACGCTGGAAAAGGTTTCACTGAGAAGTTACTAGTAAGAGTGCCGTCGGCTGCAGCGCATGGTGTGCAGACTCACACATTGACTTTGACTCGATGATACACTCGTTCAACAAATGCCCAGGAACTTTGTCTTCAACATGAAATAGCAAAATCTAGTAGTATGCGAAGGGATTAGCAATACTTGTTGTTTTGACTTGAAAAATGAACTACGGGTTTGCTGTGCGATGTAAGCTTGCGGAATGGAACTGCAGCCCTTCTCTGATATCATTACCTTGGATAAAATCTTCCATGTGTGAAATTCTTGTTTCCTGCTCATCGATGATGTCTTCTAGGTTTCTGATCAGGCGATCCTTAGTCTAAATCAAAATTTATGGTTGTGTCACGTTGCGTAATTTTTTACACATGAGAAATGAAACATGCCGCGCTATTCATGTTTCTTAAGCAAAGAATGAGAGCTTCCTCTGTAGTGACTGTAGATCAGATCACACTAACCAAATTTTCATTGTCAGACCCCCATACTCTTTTGAACACAGCTATACGTATGCACTGATATCTTGCTGGCACATCCCCTCCCCCTCCCCTACTGCGAGACTGGGTCGCAGATTTTTTATAAGCAACCTACCTTGAAATTGCGCAAGCGACTTGTTTCCACTTCTGAAAGATTGATCCTCAAAAATCTTTGAAATACAAATTGGCATCGTAAAAATTTTTCTATGGAGCTTGTCTGCCTTTCTTCTTCCCCCCCCCTCCTGAAAAAAATTTTTGGACCGCTACTGTGCCTAGAGCTTGGCACTAGGTGGCCTTCCGATTATGCAAAAAACAAAGTCCCCTCTGACTTACGCAAAATTTCACAAAGTCCTCTTTGGCTCAATCGGAAACGTCGACTAAAAAAGCCAACCTAACTTGTATCTTTTCCAACCGCAAAAACGATTTCCCCTTTGCTTTTTGTCCCAAAAACGATATCCAGCTCGCTTATAAGCCACCTGTGCCGAGTCCTGACTGTGCTAGTGATACTGGATTGGTGAAATTCTTCTTTTGCTGATTAGGTCACGAAACATAAGTTTCTCATACACATTTGCTTTTAGACAACTCTCATTTCTGGATAGAATAGAAAGTTTTTTTGTCAAACAATCTTTATCCAGCCGGTTGAATGCTATACAAATGTAGACGCTTTTTGATAGCGGGTGCGTGGGAAAGGAGAAACGGTCAAACTCCCAAAGGTTTTGATGTTCCTTTGTTCGAGCCAATAGACCAATGTGGAAAAATGAATGTGTACTTTCAAGGCAATTCTTCTTTCAAAGATTAACAAAATCGCTGCCCAACATCGCGAAAAAAGATGACTTTTCCGTTTTTTTGAGTAGTAAAATCAAAAATCCAGATTTGGGCGAAGCTGTGCGCCTAAGGGCCGCATGCACTAACATGGCCGCGGGGAGGGGATCGCAGCTTAAAAGAAAGCTTCTTATTTCAAAACTCTAGATAATACTTGGATTTCACGTTGTGTACCTATCCGTAAGTATTCCTACTATTCTTCACTATGAACATGTTGAACAGGAGCGAGAAGCTGTACAAAAAGCATTTTCCAGCTTTTGTATGATCCCTGATGATCCCCGGCGCTTTTCTTTGAAGTCATTTTTCTTTCTCCGAAGTCAACGAAAAACTTCCAAAGTTGTGCAGATTATCTAACCCAACAATGCTAAGCATGTTGCTGATAAGAACAAATGATGTTTTGAAGTCCTGAAATTTTCGATGATCCACAGGTCGAAATTTGGGGTATACCGAAAAATTCGATTTTTCAAAAATTCATTTGTTCTCATCAGCAACATGCTAAGCACTGTTGTGTTAGATGTTCAGTATAACTTTGGAAGGTTTTCGTTAACTCCGGAGAAAGAAAAATGACTTTGAAGAATAGATGTTCGTCCCCCAGGGATCATCAGGGGATCCTACAAAAAGCTGGGAAATGCCGCTTGTACAGCTTCTCGCTTCTGCTCAATATGTTCATAGTGAAGGATGATGCTAGTACTTACGGATAGGTAGACAGCGTGAAATCCAAATATCCGGAGCTTCAGGATATGAAGCTTTCTTCTGAAGCTTCCATCCCCTCCCCAGCGGAAATGTTATTGCATGCGGCCCTAAATGCTGATAAGACGTTCGAAGAAAATGAAGCGATGAGATAACCTCATAAAAACAGAATGACTTTCCCTTGACTGATGCTGCCATATTTGAGTCTTTCAGATATTCACGTGTCCCTCAAAAGGTTATTAGTTTTTGAAGAGCCGTCTTATGCACTGCCAAACATCCCCGATGAAGTGGCCATCATCGTCGTTCTTTTTTCTAAGCACTGCGCAGTCGTAACTCAACCATTCTCCTCCGCTAAATAGCCCTCGTTCGCAGAATGTGCCTTTTTTCTGCTTTAGTCTAAACCGCGGACAACAGATTCGTTTCAGTTGAAAACGAGTTTCTGTCAAAGGGAGAGTAAACTAGCTTTCGTTACTTTCATTCGATGGCAGAATCACACATTTTTCAGAAAGAAAAGCAAGTAGCCGACCTCTAGATGTGTCTCAAGTATTCGCATCTGCAGTTTCATATTCACCAACTCGACTTCATGAATATATCGACATTTTTGGAAGTACTCCGAGTCAGAATGATAGTCCATCAACCCTGAAAAGCGTTTGCATGTTTTGATGCTCTCTAAAAAACGACATCACTCTCAAATGTTCACGAATAGGGGTGGGGGGAAGGGGTAAGCGATGAATGCTGTGCTGATGAGGTGAGGTGCAAGCGTGTGAGGGGGGGGAGAGCTTGTCGTGAAACCAGTTCGAATTGGCCTCGCCTCGATTAGACGAGGAAGACAAGGCATGAACTCACACAAACAGCCGATGGCATAAGGCAAGTGCAGAGAAAGTATAAGGCTATCAGGCGTTGAGACTAATTTGCAAAGCCGATAGTAGCCCGTAAATTCTCGTCCCAGAAGGCAATTCTAACAAGAAGTCGTTTTTGCATAGCAATAGATGCATATCGTTATGCTTGGATCCCATTAGACGTTGTTAGAGTGACTTTCTATAGCATTCTTTGCAAATGGCTATAAAAGGCTTTTGCAAAGCTCAGTAACTCTACTGCACAGAATATCCCCACATTTTTTCTAAGGTCTTCATGATGCTGAGCTGGGAAAGCAAAGGCAAATCTCATAGAAAGTAGGAATTCAAAATACAATTGCTTCTACTTTCTGACGTCAACGAAAACGAAAGAGAGAAAAATCAAGCAAATATGTCCTCATTCCTTTCAAAGAATTGTACATATTTTCATGAAATGTCCCCAAGGACAGCTGTTGAAAACAAGTGGATTTGGACTTTCTCCTCACCAAACAAGTCTTGGAAATGCAAATTCTATCAATTTCTGACAACTATTGGGTCGTGTAATAAGTTCTGTCCCATTTTTTGTTTTAGTTTTTTCTTGACAACATTGACTATATCTCAGATAAAGTGTATATGCTTTTGAAAGCTCCAAGTCTGCTCTGCAGGCCCATATGCATCATTTCCCAACATAGCAGGAAATTGAATAAGATTTTTATCATTAAAACAAAAAATCCAAGGAGCCGAAAAATCAATTTTCGACATCTTTTTTCCTCCAAATTTTTCTCGATTTTTATTGGTAAAACTTATTAAACAAGCTTGACAACAACCGAAACAATCTATTAGACTTTTACACTTATTCTATCACTGTTTGCGCATGTTTCCTTCCTTCCACCAGCTATTTAATGACATTTTTTCAAAAGTCGGCAAGGCAAGACTTTGTCACGGCGATGTTCGCCGTCTCTCGTACCCAAGCTGTGTGGCTCCCAAAACTCGAATTCTGAGTATTTAACCTATGAATTCGATAATTTTGAAACCACAAACCATCCCTTCCGTCTTTTCTGTATGATCCGCCTACCTCTTCCCTTAGAATGCCTTCAGATGATGCCCAACACCAACGTTGAAAAGGCGTTGAAAGAAGAATTTCTAAAGTCTGTAGAAATGATTTTTGAGAAGTTTCAGAACTTCTAAAGCGCAATAGAAGCTAGAGCATTCTTTGCTTACGTGTAGAAAATTTTTCGAGTTTATTCGTAGGCATTCTGACTAATTAAGAGGGCAACGTAACGTAGTTGTCGAAAATGGACTTTTTTCCTGTTTGATTTTCCAAATTTGACGCTGTGAAATTTTTTCAATTCATATGATGTAGAAAACCGAGAAGCAAGTTTTAGTAGAGAAGGCTTAGAGCTTTCAAATGCATATAAACAATATGCAAAACATCGCGCAAAATATTGAAAAAAAATCGAAAGAAAAAATGGGACAGAACTTATTACACAACCTAATAAAATGGCAATGTGCAAACCAAATGTGCATATCGGCTGTGAGTAACTCGAAGCGGACCGGAAATAACAGCTTTTCGAGGAGATACGTGCCGTTCGGTTGAGAATAGCTCGGAGTAATGTGCAACGATTAAATGAGGCATTTTCGAAGTGCACTTCCATAAATTGAAAAAGTGAAGAAGAGAAATGGATGAGCACCACGTTCCCCCTATACGATATAAGCATAAATAAGCATGAGCAGTCAAAATTAGTAGAAGCTTATGAAAACATTTGAACACTTGAGGAATGTGAACAACTGACGCAAATACGAGCAAAGAACGAGAGCAGTTTTGCAAGATCAGTGTAAACAAAAGAAGAGAAATAAGTTTGGGTTAATGAGCATTGCAATGTATTGCACAGAAGCAGAAATGTAATTTGAAGTAGCAGCGATATGTTAGATTTAGTATCCCCAAATTGAAGCAATCCAATTTGTGAAGAGATTTGAGAACAGAAAAGAAAAGATAATGCTATTCATTAAAGTCAGCTACTCTGTCTACCTGTGTATCCTAATAAACCATACTGTGGCATTCTAGGGTTGCTAATTGTTGTGGTAGAAATACCTGCAAAAGAGGGACTCAGAAAAATTTTGTTTGATTATGCAAAGAAATTGGTGAGACCGTAGGTGATAGAAATGATAGGCACATAATGGCAGAAAGATGATACTATACGATTTGCTTTCGGCCGCACATACAACTAAAAACTACGCCTTCAACCTTGAAACTTTTTTAATATGATGGATAGGCAATAAAAATTGCAAAAGTTCTGGTTGAGGGTTTCTATCTTAGAGGTTCCACCTTACTGGATAACTGATAACGATATGGAGAGTCACTGGGAAGAAAAATATCACATAACGTCTTGATCGAGTACTTGCTGGCCTCAGCGCCAGATGAAATGTGAAACGCGAGCTCCGGCACCTTGGTCATATAATATGAGTGGCATCCGTGCTGGGCTTTTCCAAGCGAGTTTTTGCTCGTATTCGGGGGGATATCGATACGTTAGCGTGACAACAGGACAGTTGAGGGGAAAAGCTGCGAACACAGATTAATTTGGCAGCACAAAGCGCCAGCACCCGATTGCGGTATCCATCAAAATCGAGAACGAGATTGTAGCCGAGCACGGGCACGAGCAGTGAACGGCACATGCACACGGGCAAACAGACGCACAGGCCCCGTATGTCGGTGGCGGGGAGCGCGACGGGGAAGAGGGGGGGGGGACGGGGGAGTTGTATTTCGGGTTGTTGTTGACTCTTCGAGCGCTTGACTACTACGGCATGACACCACGTTCGTTACGCATCTGCTGAGTCAGGGCACGTAGCAGAGTTGTTCTTGTCGAGCGTGAGATTTTTCCAACTTGGACCAAACCGGGGCGCACAAAATTTTCTACTCTTTACCATTTCAGTGTCATTTTTTTAAAATTATACCATTTCAGTGTCATTTTTTAAAAATTATCAGACATTACCAGCATTTGAAGTGGAATTTCTAAATACTAATCATATCACTACACTCAAATCCAGAAATCTAAGTTGAGTCAGTTTCAGCGGCACTTAAAAAATGATAACGTAACTTTTTGAACACACGTCGAAGGTGTACGACCCCTATTTTTTATACGAATAAAATCCAGACGGATTTCTGTCCTTCTGTGGCAAGCCTTTGAACGAGTAAAAAACCGAAAAAAATTGAAGTTAGGTGGAAGCGCCTACTGAATTATTGCAAAAAATTTCAGCATGCAATATGGAAAAAAAACAATTCTCATGTGCCGAACAAAGAACTTTTCTGATCAACGAAATCGGATTACCACAAAATGAACAATAGCTCTGCGTCGATCTCCGCTCCATGTATGTTCAGGCCTGCTTCGTAATTTTGCTTTCATCAGGGTCGTAACGGGTTGAGACTATGTCGTAAACAGAAATTTTGCAAATAATTTCACCCGTGGAAGAATGATTTTGCACGAAGAGAAGAACAGATTAGATACAAACTCTGGACTACAAGCCGCGCTGAAGTACAATCTAGATACATTAACAGTGATGATTACTTTCTGTATTCAATAAGCACATTAACAGCAATAGGAATGTAGTAAGAATATATCAGGAACGAAGTTAGAGGAGCCCCGAACACTCTTACTAGAGTTTGAGTGTTAGTTAACGATCTCTTTGATAGATAATTTACAGCCGACGTTTGCTGAGGAAGGATTTTTAATCAAAGGAATTCTTGAACAACTGTTTATTTCGTTCCACTGAATTTTTAATCTGTAATCTACTTCCAATGCAAAAAATCATTTAGCTCGTCTCAGCACTAGCGCCACATGGTGCGACCACATTGCAAATGCACCAGTAAAATGTTTATGATTCCGCTAACTGAGACCGATAATAGTTGTTTTCTGAGTCGTAACCCTCACGAAAAAGTTATGAAAAGCACGCAATGAGATCCTCTCCATAAATATTTACCTATAGGGTATGCATTGGAAGCATAGTATAATTCGTGCCTTGTGCCCTGCGGGATGGAATTAGGAATTAGCCGTTGAATCATTGAGCCAGTCAGTAAAAGCAGCACTTTGCCGGGTACCTTGACGTTATTTCGTGCCCTCTCCCCCACTCCCTACTACCCCGCCATAACCTGCTCAGGGCTCTTATGTGGGCTCCGGTCAGTTTCTTGGTAACATCAGGATCTAGTTAGGAGAACATGTGCCTGATGAACGTGCCTACGAACCTCCCTGTACCCTTTCCCAGAGAAGCTGAATTATTTCTACTGTGAGCTCCGGTCCCTACTTGGGGGGATGGGGGGAGGGGGAGGGGGGGTGGGGGAAGGGCTTTTACAAATTGCGCGGTTGGTGCCAACTACGATCACTATCACCGCCGATAAGATCTTTTTGGTTTTGCCATGCTATTTTCTCCCCAATTTTTTGCTTGCTTTGGTACAAAAGCCAATGATGTTTTTGTAACGAAGCGATTCAGCTAAAAGTTACCAGGGCAATACCGTCCTCGCTAATAACCATTTAGTTTTTTTTTGCTCACGATGGCCAGTCTGCTCACCCGATCGCGCCAATTTGGCAAAGCCCTAACATCCGCTCTAACCTATATATGGAATATTAAACAACAGCGCAGGAACTAGTTGGAAGAACATGTTTGATGACAACGATCGAGGCTGTTGAGGGCAGGCAGGGGAAATGATTGTTTGTAAGGATTTATCTCAAACAAAGCCTATGTAGGTCCATTTTTGTCAATCCAATGTACAAACATACGATTCAGTGCAAATAAGGATGGGTATGAGGGTATTCTAAGAGCAAAATGCACTTTTTGCACTATATCAGAATGTCCTGCCATCCTAAGTAGTCTATATTTCAGCTGATAAAAGGTTAGAAAATGTAAAATGTTGGTGCGTGAAGTACTAACGTCAAGGATCATTTGAACGTCGACAAAAAGTTCCTTGCGAACAATGAATAACATTCTCATTCACGTCACGTACAAATGCGCTGACCATACTTGATTGCGAAGAATTCTGAGAAATTTATGACCATTTTATGTGTGTTGATTTTCGAATGCATTGGCCAAAGATTTCCGTGTTGCTAGGTGCTCGGACAAGTACGCTGCACTTTTTTAGTGGCCTGAACAAAAATACTTGGCACATATGGGTACAGATGGCCAGACAAGTATTCGCGCATCCATTCCCAGCTCAAGATTGCTCATTTTAGGAAAGCAAATATACATTTACGAGAAGGTGGGAAAGTGCACTGCTCCCAGGGGAGAACCGGAGTGTGGCAAAATTGCAGGGCTGCTGGAATAAAGCTCGTAATTGTACTTGAGATCGAAATAGAAAAGTACGTACAGGTAAAGTACAGGTACGGACAACTAACAGGTATGTAATATCCGCCTATTTCAGCCCACTGCGAAAAGACTAGTTTTCGGAACTTATGCGTCTCGAGGTAACCCCTCCCCCCAGAAGAAGTGTTGACTGAGTTTGAGCAGGGGGTTCCACAATTTTGTGCAGCCTCCGCGTATAACTGGTTCTATTGCGACGCTGCTCCATGTCGCTTGAGGGCCAATGGTCCCGGATGCTGTCCTAAATGGCGCAGTTTGTTCGCCTTCTTGATGACATTTCAACTAAATCTGAGCGGGATACTCGCAGGGTATCACAAATGCCAAAAAAGCGTCTATTTGACCATTTCTAAGTACCACCTTGTTCCGAAACTTCTGTTCGCTTTAGTTTTCTGATTTGAAAGGTTATAAATTTATTCAAAATCGAAATTTTTAGGAAATGTGAGTTTTGTTCGGTTAAGCGAACTTTGGGCTATCGCAGAGACAGCATGATATGTAAAAAAGCAAGCGAAAGAGAAGCGAAGGTTTGGAAAATTTCAAAAAGTCTTCAGACCGCCCTCTTTGACATTATGCTCCCATATAAGGAAAGACAGACAAATTTGATTGCAGTCATTAAGCACCTGTATTCCAAAGTTTGTATTATGGCTGAAGAAAATCCATGTTTTCCTTGCTACATAGAAATTTTTATAAGCGAATTCAAAAGAGCTACTACTTAAGTCCCGTGCGCTAATGTAAGCGGATAGCCTTTGATTCATTCTTACTTGTAGAAATGTCAAATGGCTGCATCCCTGCTTGCTCTTGCTTTACTTTAAGTTATGGAATATCGAGTACATCACTTATCTTTATCCGTAAATTATTTATTGTCGTTTCAAGGACTGCTAGGAGAAGCTTCGATCTTTGATGACAAATTTAGGAAATAAAACAATTTATTTCTGAAAATATGACTAAAAGTAAGCATATATTAGCCTATAAAAGCCTCACCTAGTATAAAATGCTGAGATTATTTTCAAAAAACATTTTTTGCAGCCAGACTGCTTTTGACATTTTGTTGAAGGAAATCTCATAACTAGGAGGTATTAAACAAGATGTAGTGAACATTGAAAAGAGCAGGACAAGGCTTGATTGTAATTAAAACCATTAGCGTTTGTGCGTTCCGAGATTTTCTAATGTATAACCTTGACCCAAGCGTTCTCGTATTATAAGTATGTAATCTTCATGAATGTTACGATGCTGCATGATGCACGATGGCCACTTTTACGGTAGATTTGGAATGCCTATTCAGCCATCAAATATGGTAATGGTAATAGAAAAGTTTGCAAAAACAAAAGCGGACGAAATGCGACTGAATATCGAGGTGGAAACCATTAATAATTGAACGATCGCGCCTTCTACTTTTGTTTTGACCCAAATTGTTAATATTTTGAAAATTGGGGCAGGAACATAGGACCTAGAAAAGAAGATCACCGTAACAAATGGCACAGACCAGTATCAGCGAACCCCTCAGTAAAAAAATGTTGCTTACCCCTAAGAGAGCAAAATTTTCTCCGATATTCATCTTATATATAAAGCTGAATGTCTGTTTGTCTTCGGTTGAGAAATGGAATTTTCTATTCGGAAGATACGGCGGAGCCGGGTAAGCCAGCTAGTTATAGAGATAAAACATGCCCTAGTATCTGCTTCTGGTGCTGCAATGTAGTGTTGATGGAAGAACTTATACAATTCATGAAATATCTGTTAAAGGGTGAAACTG